GACCGGAGTCCAGGCACGTTTCCAATAAAGTCCTGAGATCTTCTTGGATCGCATCGGCCTCTGGACTCATTATAATCCCCTGGAGACGGACGAGGAGTTCATCCAGTTTATCAGAATCCAGAGTCTTCGCCGTGGCGACCATTTCTTCCACAATAGCGGACTCAGACAGTTCGCCAGAGAGTGCGCGAATGGAAAGGTCCGACACATTGGTTTTTTTCGCGCTCTGTGTGTATTGAAGGCAGGTATGTACGACGCGGACTGCCTGGAACATGCTTTGCATTCTTTGCTGGTTTGCATCCAGGTACTTGGGCGTTTCTTGAATAAGATATTCGTCATCTTCTAGCATATCTCGGACTTGCTTGATAGAGCCCTCTTCGACTAGATCCTCACAAAACCTTGAACAGCATTAGTGGAGTTATGACTTGAGAATCGGAGACACTTACATTCGGAATGATGGTAGGTTTCTGATGGCTTCACAAAGCTTGTTTTGTGCAAGAATGGTAGACTTCGGGTTGGCTAATAGCACTGCCAGAGGATTTGCGAAGAAATGAGACATGTATGCATACTGGATGAATTAGATGTCTGTTTTTAAAGCTATTGGGGATAGTCACCTTGACCATGCGACTGAATGCCTCTGGACTTTGGAAATAGTCACTTGTGTTTTCAAACAGAGTGCTGGTAACGTTGCGACCTAGCCAAAGATTGGTGTCTGGGTCGGTCTGGAGAGTCTCATAGATGCGGTCGACACAGTTTCCGGCCTCTTGGACCTCAAAATGCTTTCCCCGAAGGAGAGCAACACACGAGCGAGGCAGTCTGCCTTCAAACAACTCTACAGAGGTAGAGATGCCTAGTAAGACTGTGAATGGTATACGGTCAAGCCATGATCTAGTAGAGGGTCAGTTAGGGGATCGGTCAAAGTCTGGAATATCAATCGCACTTGAATAGAGACAAAAGGTCGGTCAAAAGGCCAGGGTCAAAAGCCTCGCTATCTCGAAAGGCTAATACTAATTTCTTGGTTCCCTTTCTCTGCACATAGTCGTGAAGAAGGTCTAAATCGTAACCAAGAAGTCGAGGTCCCTGGTGCACGGCGGTTAGCACAATGATTCAATGTTTTCAATGCGATCACGTACAGCACGATCTGTAAGGAACTTTTGATATCCATCATTGCCATCCGTGTTTGTAACGGTAGCTCGGATAATGTTTTTCAACGTTGTTTTCAAATTGGGAGCATCCCCTGATTCCAATACCACGACACTGCCTTCTTCGGTCGATATCAATTGACCATTAAGCCGTGATAGCAATCTGCTGAGCGAAGATACATTTGAACCAACCGTCACCAGAGCCGTAGGAATACATCCATCACATCTAAAGCCCTAGTTAGAGCATGTTCGTGGATCGCAATGGGATAGGGACGTACGTCTGAGGTGAGGTGTCTCTGACAAAGGACAACACATCCGTCAAAACCCCGGCATCGACATCCTCGAGGATATTCTTGAGTCCTGGTGAGTAATTTATCACTATGACCACCCACTAATTCACCTGACTGACCTGAATCTTGTGTTCTTGCTTCGACCATAGCTCCTGATAGGCATCATATCGTAATTGGACGGACTCGGCGTTCTCGTCTCCGTTCAAAAGGGGCACAAACCGCTGTCGATCAGGCTGCTCGTCCTTGTGGGCGGTTGACGAGACTTTGCGGCGCTTCGAAAGTCGCTCGCCCGCTGATTTTCCATGTTTGGGCGGTTGGTAGATATACGCACCCTGCGATGATTTGTTAGCGCGCAACCTCAAGGTCCATACGAGAACTCAAGACAAACCAGATTTTGGGACTTGTCATTCGACAAGCCCAAGGCATCGTTCAATCCATCAGCATCCATGCTGCTGCTTAAAAGGACTTGGTTGTCGCAATGGGGATGACTTCAAGGGCGGAAGCGCGACAAGACGCTAAACCCAATCAGGTGATAATTGGTTCTCTCCCGAACTTGAACTTCTTCACTTCTCCAACTTTTTTGGTCGCATTCGATGACCGATTGACTTCAGACTTCATGCTGCGCCAGGCTATTCAAGGAGCCCGATGGTGTCAGCATGTGGCCCGCAACCCATCGACATGCGCTCCACGCCGGGCCTTCTCCGCCATAGCTCCGCGGCGTCTTAAATTTGGCGGACCGAACGACAAAGTCACATTCTACGAACAAGAATCCCTCGAGAGCAAAACACGACGCAAAATCGATCCCGAAGCCGAAGATAATGAGGAGCGAGATGAGGTCAAAAAGGAGCTCGCGAAGCTCCAGGATGAATTGAATGTTTTGGAGGAGGGACCTTTTGCTCCCAGCAGCCCTTTCATCAAGAGTTTACCAGAAGAAGACCGCAAGATTGCCCTAGAAGCCCTGAGAAAATTTGACGAGGAAAATCCTCAGCCTGCAGACGAGCCTGGATTGGATCAGGTTTTCGACGAAGAGCTTGATGATATGCTACGGGAGGAGTTTGAAGGCCTCGCCATGGAAGAAAAGAATTGGGAGGATGGCGTCAAGAGTCGGCGAAAACTAGCCGCCCGGCGATCTGTCGCAGCAAAGCGTGCAGGGGCAGAGTCTCATCCTTACGCTATAAAGTTCAACAATTCCCTACGACAACTCCAAGGAAAGATGTCAGACGAGCGGGCTCGACAAGACTTATGGAAGTGGTACCGACGATGCAAGCAGACTATCCCAGGATTTCTAACAATAATGCCTGAGGGGGCACTCGAAACAATATGGGATGCACAAGCAGCAGGAGAGACTGACCAGGCTACACGCTCAACGCATTTGCAAATCCTGGTTCGGGACGCTAAATCTATCGGCCAAGAACTGGCTACGCCTCAAATCCTATTTTATATCACATCTCTGCATAAAACTGGCTCCACTAACCTCGCACTGGAGCAATGGGAGGCATATCAAGCAGAGCTGTCCCAGAAGAAGGAGGATTTGGAAGAGTACTGGAAGCTCGGAGTACGATTGTTTGCTGCAGACAACAACCCACAACGAGCTCAAGATATTGCTTTGGCTTTCCTGGCAAACGATCGAACTCGTCAGCCGCGTGTACTCATTCCTGTCATTGCAGCGTGGGGAAGATTGCCCGGAAAGGAGGCTGAAGTAAAAGCCTGGGCACTTTATCTGCAGTTGAAGACATTCTTGGGCTCGGATATGATCATGGAAGACTATGATCAAATCAGCATTGCCCTTCTCACGGCTGGTCGATTGGATACTGCAGTTGCAATCTTCAAGGATATGATGGTGACCGGAAAAGACCCAGCCAATGACTCGACTGCTTTGTACAAAGCCGCGTTGGGTCTGGCGGGTAATCTTCATGCATCCAGCATCAACGAAAATGAAGTAAATAAGGTCTCTTTGTCGGCGCTCAAGGTGTTGCCTCGCCAGTTCCAGAATCGGTTCTTCTATGCCAGTTGGATGAAGAAGCTCATTGGTATGGGCGAGGTGGACTCTGCTGCTCTGGTCATTGAACTTATGTATGAGCGGTGTGTCAAACCTGATAGCAAGCACTTGAATGGAATCATTGCGGGCTGGCTCCGTGACGGGAACACAAGTGCACGCGACAAGGCAGAGCGACTTGGCTGGGCCATGATCCAGAAGCGCATCGATGTTGTATGGAGGCGATACCAACCAGCCGATATTTCCCCTCAGCTTCGAGTCAGATCTGGGGAGACAGAGTCTGTACGCATGCCCCAGTTTATGCAGAGAGAGGTCCCGCCTGCGACCATCGAGACCTTCTCTATCCTTCTTCTTCATTACACACGCCGAGGTGACGACGGCATGGTTAGATACTTGGTCAAGTGTCTTGGGGATGCCCATATCAAGCCGAACTCTTACTTCATGAACCACCTTTTATACGCAGAGCTCAGAAAGCAAGACGTGAAACAACTTTGGATCAAGTTCCAGACGATGTCTACCGCCATCCGGCCCGACGTAGAAACGTACGCCTGCCTCTGGGACTGTGCCAAGCTGCAATACGACCGCGGGCGTACTGCCTTCGATGTGGGCTTTCCATCGGCACGTCAGCTCTATGCCAACATGATATCCTGGTACTCCCAGTTATCTCCTCGCGCCCAGAAAAACACCCAAGCACAGATTCCTAGAGCTCTATTTGATCAGATTGTGCGATGTTTCTGTCTCTCCAAAGACCTCTCCGGCACATTGGTCGTCATACACTCGATGCATTCAGCCTTCGGCTTCGCACCTGATGACACGACTGCCCGCATGATAGTACTTCAGATTGCACGACTTGCTGGTGTACCGGCCGACACTCCGAAACGGCGCCTCCGCCGCTTGTCTTCGACACCACGAAGCAAAGAGAATATCGGTCAAGTCAGCCGTTTGCTAGAACTGTTGGGTGATCGCAAAGCTGAAAACCTGCGGTTGCAAGGATTGAGTCTTGAACAGCTGGATTCACGTGAGATGGAACAGTATCAACTAGAGATCATGGCCAGTCTACTACGGATCGTGATGAGCCGAGCAGATGCCTTGGATCCAGTTCAAGTCGAAAATAAACTCGAGGTAGCAGCGAAGGAGATGTTGGCTGAACATATCGACTTGGGCCCGCCCTTGGGGGTAGACGATAGCAAGCTTCTATAATTGACTATATGTCAATCAAGCGAATTCCATTGCATGGGAAATCATGGCGTTTGACGGGTTGTCGGTTTTGTTTTCCCCCCGAATCAATTAGGGTTGTGTATACTACTTTGTTATTTAGACATAATGTACTTAGATCGATGTAGCCTTCACACCATCTTTCCTCTCTACACCTTGATCTTCCTTTTCCTCCTCTTCATACCTCCCTCCCCCTTTCACTCCCTAAGCTCAATGCTTTTTTCCTTCCCTACCTGCTCCAGAAAATTTCACTCGATTTGTCACGCCAATCCAGCTGTTCTGCCCAACCCTCTACAGCTAAACGACGGGTCAATATCTAACCGTAAGTTACCTCCATAAACTCCCGATTCGATTGAACCAATGACCGGAAATCCCACACTCTCAATGTCGGCGCAGAACCTGTGGGCTCTTCTTGTCCAGACGATGAGACCTAGCAGGGACCCGTCTCAACCAGCCCTCGATCCACGAGCTGTGTACGGGACCACGACCTATAACAACACCCCATTCCAACTAGGCAGACACCATCCGTCTCATATCCCGATCCGGGATACACGACCACAAATGATACCTTACGCCAGTCACCTACAACCCGAGTATCCCGAATTCCCAAACTTAGGTTATGACCCGTTTCCGTCGCCACCGCCAGGCCTAGAAGAGTATACGGCTGCTCAATTATCTGCCCTCGAGAATTCGTTCCGAGGACTGCAATCTCCAAGTGATCCAGTGGACTCAACTGGCCCAATCCAACCCGAGGAGCTAGTTTCGCCTACCCACGTCCATTGCAAGGGAATCCTACCTGGGCATCACAAGTCTGGGGAAACCCAACCCTCGACAAGCTTTCCATCCAAGACAAATCGACCTCAAACACCCAGTCCTCATGTTCTTACTCGTGACTCAACCTCTGGTCTGGCGGATATGGACTGTGATTCAGAACCGAGAACCGAATCTGAACTAGAACCTGCATCTGAATCAGAGAAGAGAGTGGCCTATCAGAGTACCAACCAAAAGCGATCCCGATCTCAGACTTCTGACCCAATCCCGAACAAGAAGGTGAGATCCGCTCCTGATCCAACTCCCACCGAGCCTGCCCGGGCGCGATGGAAAGAGATTTGCACTAGATCAGTGAGCAAACATCCGGATTTAATGAGGCACCTTGAGCAAAGAGAAACCGATCCTGTGTATCGCTACTATCATGAAATCATGGATACCTCTAGCAAACAGTCCTCATGGCATTGGGATTGGAAAACGGAGAAGGACCTGCCCGCAGATCTTAAAGGGATGGAGAAGGAACGCTTGACCCACAAACAAATCGAGACACTGCTTTTCTTTAAACCCACCATCCGGAAAAAGTACGAAACAGCCTTCCGATGGAGAGGTCAAATCCGCACTGAATACGCTCACCTTCTCGAAACCGTGGAGAACGGGAGGTTCAAATTGCCTGTGCAGCTCGTTCATTCGTGTAACCCGTGGTTAGTCGGACAGTATCTCTTCTGCAAGGTCTCTTCAGAGAACCCATCCTCGAGGCAGATCACCTTATCCCCAGCGAAGTCTTCCGCCATTCATCCCGAGCTGGCTAGTCCACCCATTCCTGCTCAGTCCCCCCAAGTCCCTGGCAGTACTCAGAACGATGTTACGATGCCCGTGCTACTACATGAATGGCGCATGACTCAGCGGGGCCGAAATAACCAATCCTCAGTCAATCAGACCCTGTCCGCTATGTTGACAGTGCAGTGCGCAGAAGTGACAGCACTCCGGGATAGGATACAAAGCTATGATACACTCCTAGAGGACCATCCGGCTCTACAGTCCCAAGTCAAGAAGTGGTCACCTCTACCTCAACCCACTCCGATGTCTACCTTTTTCCTACCTAAAGCTTTATCCGGGACCCGAGTCCACTCGAGAACCCCTTCGTCAAACCACTCCTGATTCAATTAACCACTAAGCCTTTTTTTTGGTGTTCTGTCATGTATGTTTGATAGGGGAATGTGATTGTCTTTGGCAGAGAACTAGGGGATTGTTACCCTAGGCCTTGCCCTTCTGTTGTTACTCAAAAAAACCCCCAATGTCACATATTTCCCCCGGATTAGTTTGCAGCTGTTCGTCAAAAGGGCAGCTAGTTTTGTACCCTGTAGTCAGACTACCTGGCAGCATTACCTCGCAGCGTATTGGAAAATGTAGTATTTCTCAGACTGATATCATCCCTACCTCCTCTACTAGACATGCCCGTAGTCTATATTACCTAGATAATGTGCGTACTATAGGGTAACGAGGCAGTCACATGACTGGCAGATGTCCATATAAAAAGTCGTTGAATTTGAGCATCATGTTCACTTCGGACTTGAATCTGGCCTGTTCGTGGTATATTGATAGGTTTTCTGAGTATTCAATCTCTCACCCATGACTATAACTGGTATAATAATGTAACTCCTGAACCCGTGGCCCAAAACCCTAGCAGTGAGAGTGTATTTTGAACCCCAGATAAAAGTACAAAGAAAAAAAAAAAAGGAAAAACAAACAAAACAGAAAAAACACTCATATCTATTTCTTGCCCTTGGCCTTCTTCTTTGTGTTTGGTGGAGAGGCAGGCGTATTCGAGGAAGTTTCAGCCTCCACAAGAACAGCATCGTCATCACTGCCCTGGACAGAAGTACCGGCGGTAGAGGTTGTGGGTGGTGCCTCAACGGACTTGGTCGTGGTGTTGGTAGTCTTCGCCTCTTCGGTAGAAGTGGCCGAGCCCTCGTTCAATTCCTTCATAAATCCCTCCTGGATACTCGTCTTCTTCTTGCTCCACCACTGGCGCTCCTCTTCCAATTTCTTTTGTTGATCGTCCATGCGCTTGCGGTAGAGATCGTTATTCATCATTTCGTTGGCGGACTGGAAGATAGTCTGGCCCCAGCCGGGGACATAGGCATTTGCCTGTTTGATTTTGATTAGCAAAGCACAAAAGCATATACAATCATTTGTTCGCTGAGAACAATGGTTTATCGGCGACGGAGAACGGAGGTTATCATACCTCTGAAACCACATCCTTGACCTCGTCTTCCATCTCCTTCTCCGCGCGCTGGAATCGCTGCCAGAGATCATCCCCGACACTACCACGTTGAACGAGTGTTGTGAGAGCTTGCTTCTGGCTGCGAAGTGCCATAATGCGACGGATGTCTTCAGCTGCGCGACGGAGAAGAGAAGCCTTGAAGATAGAGTCGGGGATGGCGGGGGCCTTCTTCTCTTTTGTGGAGGTTGATGAGGGTTCAAGGTGGAGGAGAGAGAAGTAGATATCGCGCTGGAGGTGGGCGGGGAACCATGGTTCTAGAGATGCTGCCTTGTCTATAAGGATTCACAAATCATATATTAGCATTCAAGGACAATCAGACACGTCGGTGCGTGAGATGGTTGGATGTTGAGAGCTCAACGCTTTCTGGGGATATTTCACATACGGGACTTGCGCTTGCGGTAGAGGGAGGAGAATGTAGCAAGCGATCCCAAGAGAATGCCTAGGTACGCGATTGGGACGGCGAGACTGAGCCAGTCCACGTCGAACATTGCGGTGAAGTGGTTTTTGTGACAGGGGTATAGGGATTGAAGGTCCAGGAAAGAAGAAGACGAGATAGAAATATTCAATCTGTACCAATGTGAAGGTGAAATAAAGAAAAGAAGGGTCTTGAAGTTGCGAAATGTGGTGTTGGTCAAGCTCAAAAGGCCAGGGTGTTTAGTGGGTCATGTCACATGTTCATTCTGTTGTATAAAAAGTTGTAGACAAGAGAAGAGTTACAGTTACAAAGAAGAAACAACGACATTTTAGACCATTATTCTCATAGTCTACATACATTTCCTCATGTCAAATAACCCACTAAAACTAGTTTTTGCATAAACAATTAAGGAAATTGGGTAATTGACACATTTGCTCCCCCCTCCCCTATCCATCTCGCCACAAAGAAGAAAGAAAAAACAGAAAAAACAGAAAAACAGAAAAAAAGAAGAAAAAAAGAAAAAAGAAAAGAAAACCATCGCCAGATCAAAGGGGAATATGAACCAAGTCAAAATATTGACAAAGTAAGAAAAGGGACAAAAAAAAAGAGAAAAGGGTGAAAGTAAGGAATTACCCATCAGTCAGCTCTCACTGGAAACTCAGGTTGGCCAGGATATCCTTGGTTTGTTGGCTGATAGGCCCGATCTCCTGCATCGCTTGCATGTCTTCTAGGACTGCATTGTATGTTTTGCCGAGACCATCGGCGACGCGGGTACGGTTCCATTCTCCACGCATGTGCCACACGTAGTCCATCAGATTGGTGTTGATTTGCTCCAGCTGCTCCACTGAGAACCCGCTGGTTGACAGGGTTAGCTGCGTGTGTAGACGCTCAACAACCTCAAGATCAAGGACGAATGGCTCATGGGGTTCTTCGCTCAGGATCGATTGCAAGTTAGCCGAAGCATTAGCTGCTGGCATGTTGGGTGCATCGAACAGCGGGGGTTGCGGCTTTGACTGCGACTGGCTTCCATTCAAACCACTGTTCTCCTGGGTGTCTGCATTGCTAAGCAGTGAGTCCCGGGGATTGGGGGAAGGCTGACTGCTGTCATTTTGCTGGGTGTCGGGCAAGTGGTCTTCCTGCGACACGCGATCGGGGTATTGAGTAAGGTCGGGGTATTCAGTTCTCGAGACATGAGGGCTTTGAGTGTGGTCATGTTGATTCGACAGATGCTCAGAGGATTTCTTATCAGAGGTCGTCTGAGTAGTGGATGCTTCATTGGTGTAATCAGCTGGCTGAGATCCGGGGGCCATTGGAGTCATGGGGCCTCGCTGAGAGAAGCTGGAAAGACCGGATTCTCGACGAATCTGTTGAGAAGGCGCGGTGTGGGAATAAGGAGGCTTCGGCTGTGCGGAGGGCCCGAATGAGCTTCCCTGGGTGTCCTTGCTACCCGAGTGATCATCAGAATTGGACATGAAAACGTCGCCGTCTGCATCTCCATGGGTACCATTGCTCGCACCGACAGCATGGGAACCAAACTCATTGAGATCCGAACCACCGCCGTGATGATCTCCATTGGCGAAACTCTTGAACTGGGGCGTGGGGGTCACGGGACGCGAAGCTGCTTTTCTATCATCCTCATTGTCGGGGAAAACCTCGCCGAGTTGAATCGGGCCTGTCGACAGGCCCGATTCAGTGTTGCCGTGCGACTCATTGGTAGGGTCAGGGATGGGAATTGCGTTCTCCTCTTGGGCACGTTTCTCACGCTCCGCAGCCTCTTTTTCGCGAGCCATCTCACGCAGATAAACCTGCTCACATTCTGCCATAAGAGCTGGTTCGGCTACCAGAACACCGGCGATATCAACTTCGACATTGGTCAAAAGTTCACTTGACCGCAAAATGCGTTCCGGGTCACCAGTCTGACGAGCGTCCTTGACCATTCGCTTGACATCCGCCACAAAGTCGATGGCACGCTTGTAGTATCCGTTTGCAAGGCGTTTTTCAATCGTCACAATCTCCAGGTTGTAGTAGAATTTCCCAGTGGCGGTTTCACGGAGACCCAACACACCATGTTTGTCGTATGCTTTCTCATAAGGCCGGAATGTGTTTTGTTGATCCGGGGGAAGATCACTGGTAACAATGTTGGGATTTTCTTCCTCCCACAGATATCGGATTTGCGATTCATCGATCACGCCCGACCTGAAACGCTTGTACCTCTTGACCTGATCCATGATAGGCTGAATTCGGGTTTTCAAAAGATTCAAGGATATGTAATCTTTCTTCCTTTGAGCCTTGATCTCCTCCTTGCTGAGTCCTGCCTCGGGTTTGGGAGGTGGAGGTGGCGCGACTTTCAGTTGTTCAAGCTGACGAAGTTTGCGATTTTCGGGGTTGGGGAATCCTTTCGGGGGAGTCTTGACGAATTCGATGATCTTTCCAAAGAATTCACGACGCGCATCATTATTTGGAGCAGATAGATCATACAGGTTCTTCTTGGAAAACCCAAACATGTTCTTCAATAGACCCTCGTCCAGTTCCTCTTCTTGTGATTCAAGAATGCCAAGCAAAAGAACTGGGTCAGAAGGAGGCACCGACCGCAAAAGACTCATGAACGTAGAGATCACAGTAGGCCCGACAGTCTGGAACCACAGTTGAATGTTGGGAATGTAAATCACACTCGGCTTGTGTCGCTTGACCTCGGTAAAGAGCTGAATGACAGCTGCCTCTGGGGAGCGGGTTGAGTCGCTCAACAAAGTGGGGAGATCGAACGCCTGCACATGCAGGCCCTCAAACACATGCAGTAGTGCGGCTGCGAGGTATTGCTGGCCCATGCCGTGGGGCCCCCGAAGAAGGAGTCGGGGTCGGAAGACACGCGAGCGATCAAACTCTTGCAAAAGGAGCTCTCGGGTGAAGCCCGCACCATCATCAGGCTCCTCATATTGGGCCTCCTCGAGGGCAGTAAGTTTCTTTCGCTGTGGAAGAATCTTGGACAGCAATGATTTGATTTCGGACAATGGATGACGAAGCAGGGGTTCAATGTTCGGAGGGAGGGCAGTCGCACCAGATGAGGTCGACCGCTCTGAAGAGGGCACCATCTTCTTGATTGCCAGCATGAAATCTTTGGGGGCCACATCGATTGTCTTCGGATCAATCACGAGCTTTTGGTCAGATTTGTAGATTTGGGGGTATCTTCTTTGTACGGCATTGATTGCAGCCTCGGTGCAAAGCGCGCGCAGGTCAGCACCGCCATAACCCTTGGTCATATCCGCCAATTCATCTTTGATGTTGCTTGGAAGAGGAGGATCCCATTCCTTGGTGTGAATGTCGAGAATAGCACGACGTGCCTCGATATTAGGCAGCGAGAAATAAAATTCGCGGTCAAAACGACCAGGGCGGCGAAGAGCAGGATCAACAGAGTCAGGTCGATTGGTAGCACCGATGACAACTACTTGACCACGACCATCCATGCCGTCCATCAAGGCAAGTAGGGTCGAGACAATGGAGGCATGAATTTGTTCTTGTTTGCTGGATCTCACGGGAGCCAAACCTGGTATAGAGTATTAGCGATTGTCAAATATGCGTTCAGAGGGGCCTCATTTACCGTCAATTTCATCAAAGAAGATGATACTGGGCTGGTTCTTACGGGCTTCTTCGAAAAGAAGCCGAAGTTGTCGCTCAGCCTCACCGACCCATTTGCTCAGTGCATCCGCACCCTTTCTCATGTAGAACGTGACCTTGCGTCCTTCTGAGCTCACGCTGTTGGCTAAAGCACGAGCCATCAGCGTCTTTCCGGTACCAGGGGGACCGTGGAATAGAACACCGCGAGGAGGAGTGATTTTGAAACGCTGGAAGATTTCCGGGTACAGCAACGGCAAAGAAACCATTTCTTTCAACTGGTCAATGTGCCCTTGCAAACCACCAACATGGTCAAAGTTGACATTCATGTCAACCCCCAGGGGATCGGCGTCAGCCAAAGCCTGCTTGTTATTGAACTTGCCAAGGTTTGCAGGTGTACCGGCCGAGGTCTGACCAGGGTCAGCCGACTGGTTGTGGGTGGCTGCAATTCCAACGCCAGGAGCACGATTTGGCTGTTGGGCACCTTCATCATCGCTGCTATCGCTGTCCGCTCCTCCGACTGCAGTAGGGCCACCAGGAACACCGAGAATTGCTGAATTGCCACCCCCACCGAATGGACCCAACGTGGAGAACAAAGTGCGCTGCCAGCCTCCACCTCCACGGCCACGGCGGGATGGAGACCCGGTCACTTCGTTGTCGCTGTCTTCGTTAGGTTGAAACATTTCAGGTCGAATAATGCGATAATCAACGTCCTTTCGATTGCGACGCGGTTTCTCGTACACGGCCGCTTGCTTCGCACGGCGACGGGCACGGCCAGTAAGGTCTTCCAATTCTTCAGCGAGTTCTTCTGCCTCCTCTGAGGGTGCGCGGGTTCGAGAAGGCCGTTGGCGTAGGCCAGGGCGCCGACTGGCAGAGCTATCCTCGGCATCCTCGCGAGCTCGAAGTTCTTTGCGAGGAGAGGCACGCGATTCAGGCTCCGAGTCTTCCTCCTCATCATTCGATAGCTCTTCCTCTGGCTCGAAATCACTTTCTTCATTTTTGCTTTTCCGTTGTGAGCTTCGAGACGGCTGCTTACGGCTGGATCGACGTAGCTGCGATTCTTCATTTGTCTCTTCATTTGTCTCGGCGTCTTGCGTGGTATTCTCCTCGCGAAGCTGCTCGTGGGATAGCCTGCCTCGTCGCCGGGTTGTTGGGGGTTCATCAGTGTGTTCGGAATGATCAATCTTCGCGTCGCCATTTTCCGATTCAGGGACAACGTCTTCATCCGGCATTTCTTCGTCAATTGGGTCGTGGTCTCCATCATTGACTGGCAGTGTATCACCTTCAGCGCCGCCTTGAGGCACGTCACTTTCTAGTACCTCCATTTGCGAGCCCTGAATAGTCGTTTCGTTGATGACATCTTCGACATCCTCATGTCCTTCGGCGTCTTCATCCTCTTCATCAATGATCGTGCGCTTGGCCATGCGATCGACTCTGGAAACGCGGCGAGACGGCGATGGAATTTCAGCTTCTGGAGTATGTGTACCTCGCTCAACGGTGTGTATGTGACGACCAGAGTTGGTAAGGGCGTAGATATCCTCTGAAGCGTCACGGGTCCGGCGGGTTACACGTTTAGAGAAAGCCAAGTAATTGGGCGGGAGTTTCAACTTGATCACGGTGCTCTTGCGTGGAGCAGGAGCTCGAGTCTCATTCTCATCATCATCGTTGAGCGGGTCTTCTTCCGAATCGGGTTCCTCGTAGTGCGGGCGACGGCTCTGGGTGGTTCGTCGACGTGCCGTTCCTCTGACATTGCGTTCAACCTCCTCCTCCGATTCTTCTTCCGCCTCATCGAAGTCAAAGTCTTCGGACAGGTCTTCCTCCGAGGTGAGACCGTCGTCTGAGGTGCGCCGTCTCTTCTTTGAGGCCGGTCGCGACTTTTTCTTGGGGCTGGCCTTTGACTTCCGGCCGGTCGAACGCGAGTAGTGAGCGTGGTCGCTGTAGTCCTCGTCGTCGGAGTCGGACTTGTTGGCAGCCTCGAGCAGGGTACGCTTTGCGCCACGAGCCATGACGGAGCTTTGGTGATTAGGCGATCACTTTGAAATCACAGAGTCAGCACAAACCGCTCCAATTTGAGAAGTACAATGAGAGCATAGACAAGGGGTTCAGATGCCCTGACAATAAGGAAGATATAAAGATGCAAAAAGGCGGATTGTTGATGTTGCGCGATGCGGGCAGGAGGGACAGCACTTACGAATGGTTCAGTTGTCGCCAGCAACAGCTGGACCACTCGATCGAAGGGAAAAAAATCTGCCTGTCACAGCAGCAACCTTGACACTTTCTTCCCCGACAATTGCTGGTCAGTATGTTAGCGGAGACGGCACGATGGTGGAGCGCAATTGGGGCAGAGGTGGAAGGGTCTCACGGACTCGGGAACGCGTGGGAAAACAAAGGTGTTGGAAATCTGTCAGCCACCAGGATAGATGCGCAGTACACAGAAAGAATTGTTGAAAGTAAAAGAGAGTAAAAGACGATGGGAACTCGAGGAACAAAGACTTCAGGGAAGAAGGGCGGAAAGGACTCGCGCTCATTGGGGCTGACTGCCTGAATGTATCAGCCACTTATTGTGGCGCCCCCTAATTAGTCAACAATGCGCACGTGCCACCATCTCTCAATGGGGGGAATTGCTTCAATAGCCATTGTCACCCTTCAGCCCATGAATCAAGCCCCCATGAATCGAGCTATTGTAGTGCTCCATTCTTCTCCTGAATTAGCTAAATGGATACTTTCGGCCATTTTGATGCCCCAATATGGCACTTTCAGGATTGATGGAGGCGTGGGAGAATGACATGATACAATGATGACAGGAGGTGTTAGAGGGCAATTTGGGACATGAAGAAGACGAGAATAGGGCCCTTTGTTTTTTCCTTTTGGTTGTCTTTTTTTTCTGCGACGCTTTCGACCGGACCTGATATCATGTGCCGCTGACTCAGCAGTGGCTCGTGCTGCCTCTGAAGCCCTGGGGATCTACAATCTGGACAAGCACCAATACCCATCCAGCCAATTGAGAGTACATATCGCTGTCTTTCTTGTGCAATTTGACTTATTCTCGATCTTTCAATTGTTATAATGACTTTTCTATTGACAGCATTTCACTTATGTCTCACTACAGCACCGATGAATGCCATGAAGACTCTCCAATATATACAAAACTATACCTTGGCAATGGCTCTTGCGTTGCCATCGTGATATCAAAGGAACCCCCCCATTTTTTCTCTAACTAGATCTTTTTAGAATAGCAATGGATCCCGTTGGATATCTGTCTATAGTTCAACGGTTGAATCTTCAACTTCAAGCAAAAGTTGTCAACGGCATCATTTCACGAGTAGCCATCTAGTCTTTTCCGGTAATTCTCCTCCATTTGGACAGTTTTGACGCCGAGTCAACATGCTCAGTCAACAACATGCTCGTCCTTCTCGACCTTTTTGTCTTTTAATAAGTAAGCGCGAGACAATATGAGAATATAAACTCCATCCGGGTACTGGAGAGTCAATCTAAGCCTAGTTATCTCTAATCTTGTCCTCTAGTGAGCTCACATCCTCGATCACTTCCTTGCGCATGTACCATTTTGGATCCTTTTGTAATGATTCATAGGCAAGTTTTATATGGCCACTGGAAACGCTGTCTTGCCAGTTGTATAGCTCCTACTCCTGATACCAGAATTTCTTCCGGAGCGCCTATTGCTCTTCGTCGGCATTTCGCAATTTCAGGAGTGCCCGACCCTTTTTTTTTTTTTTTTTTTTCAGTGTTTCCTCCCGTTGAGCGAGTTCATGGACATGATAATCACGCATGATAAGCTTTACGAAGAGGTCGACATGACAACGGGCTGTTTTGTTGCCTTTGCCGTACGGAATTTGGTTTGCCATCGGCGTTGTTGGTAGTTGTACGTGGTTTTCAATCCACAAAGACTCTGTTTCGTAGACCATACGTACTGTACTGGAGGGAATATCTTGGAGATGGATCATTCGGTGGTCATGCGCCGACGCCCGAAAACATCAACTCTGTGTGTTAGAAGTAACTAACTCTGGAAGAAACCGAACTTCGATGAGCAAAAAAGCTCTCGGCCACCTTTTATCTGGACTTGTTTTGGATAAGCTGTATGATCATGAGAGAAAGAGAGAGCGAGAGACGGTATAATACATCGACACCTGAGGAATAAATGCCAAGACCACTATACCCGAAATGGAACTCGAACTTCAACATCATCCTGGCTCATCTCCTCGGATATCAACGAGCAAGAAGACACCTTAAAAATCACACTATGTTCTCGCAATCAGCTCGTCGGTTAACACCGGCTGTGATGTCTTTTCAATCTGCTCGAGCTCCCATGAGCCGACGCACCTTCACCTCCACGCAAGCCATATTCAACTCATCACAGAAGCCAAGTGCATACAAGGAAGGGGTATGTATATGTTTTTCTTCAAGCCCGCAGGATTTAATTGGGACCTTCTAATGTTCTATATAGATGAATCAATATCGAACCTTTACTGGCCCCTTCGCCAAGGTCTTCTTGGGGGGGCGTCTTCGTCTATCAAGTCCTTTATTGGACCTGGTTGAAGTTGGAGATGGATGAGATTAAGGTGGCGAAGAATGGTGAGACCAGCGAAAATCAATTAATCAGTACTCCATCATGCATGTTGCTTACCTTTCTTGCAGAGAAAGTGGCCGTGCTTGAGAAAGAGGCCCGGGAGATTACTAGCACTCAGAAATGAATCCGATCTTGAGAGAATCTTGAGAAGACATGTACCATATTATGTTTCATTGATGCGCAGCACCATATTATATTGTGGCTTTGAATAACGCCATGACACTTCCAGATTTGGAGAAACATTGTCTTGGTCATGATCCCAATAAACCAAACATTGCAGAATATCTTTATTATATTACGAGAAGCCAGGACTCCAGTATTCAAACTGGTATGTCATGCCGCGGCATACTTGCGCTTCCGCCCACCAGTTGTTGCAGCCTTCCGACTGTGGTCAAACGTCTGTACCGCAACATCCTTGGACTGATCCATCTTGTCCTCCTCGAGCGACGAAGACGGGAATCGCCAGACTTGACCCCTCTCCCCTTTCTTGAAATGCTCAATATCAATATGATTGAACCTCTCATCCAGGGCCTCGGGGCCATGGTTCTTTAGTGGGACTCTGTGGTTACAGAAGCCACACCAGAAATGCGACTGGCCAGCCAGATCGAGCCGGTTATTGCCAGCCGAAGCTGCGATGTGATATTCGTGAATCCCATGCTGACGCAGGTGGTGAGTATATGTGTCGGCTCGACAGAACAACCGCTCGCACGAGGTGCCTGTTCGCGCATCATGTTCTGTGCAGAACCAACTTGGCACACCGAGATGTTGGGAGCTCTCATGGCGCTTCCAGTCGGCTTTGCTGCCGAAGGATTTGGCGCAGTGGGGGAATGTACAGCCGTAGGGTCGTTCGTGACGCTTCTGGTGTTTTCTGATGACGTTTGTGGTTAATACCCTGGTAAGAATACGGAAGGGTTCGGGGTGGCTTACTTCATTTCACAGCGCAGCCGGGTCTGCTTTGGGCACGCGTCACATTGGAACCAGCCACGTTTTTCGCTATCAGGTTCCTGCGCGGTGACTTCGTTGTCATCGGATAACCGTTCCAAGGCCACCGAAAGCACCTTCTGCAGCATTTGCCTCTGAGGCTGAGAGAGCTGAGCGGCGTCGGTTTCAAGGTCGATCCCCTCGTCAATATTCTGACTTGATCTCCGCCCACGGTTGTTCATCATCTTCGTCATGGCGTTGATTAAGTTATCAGCTGCGTCTGCAACCGATCCATCGGGCCTGGTGATACCGCGTTCAGCGGACGAAGCTTGACTCGTTCTTGATAGACCTAGGGAGCCAAAAGCGGGAAATTGAGAAGATGTCGAGTCTGCAAGAGGCGGCGTAGTATACTGAGGGGGTCTCGGTGCGGCAGTACCAAATGTGAAGATATCAGGCCTCTGTTGGGATATGGAACCGTATTCCGGCTCCAGATCGGCGATCGACTGGACGGACGCTTCGTCTTCTTCCTGCCCTAATACCGACTCATCTCTTGAGCTACGGTCGTCGAAGCTCTGCTCCGGCTGGTCGAGGATGACTTTCTCATACCAATCCATGGACCTGTTCATAAATTAGTGGTTGGAACATTGCATGTCTCATTCTAATCTCACTTTTTCAGGAGTGCCTCCCCATCCTCCTCATGATGCATCCGGTTCAGGTGTTGCTTGAAGTTATCGAGACGCGGCCACCTCTTGTTCGGACGAGGGCAGTTTGCTCCGAAACACATGTATGTCATCTTGGGCCCACGCTCGGGCTCTTTATTGTGAACGCATTTCTTATGACGAGCAAGATCATTAATGGTGCCGAACCCGTCCTTCCGCGGGCAATTTGGCACGTCACATTTGAACTGTTTCTTATGGCGAGCCTCATGTTTTCTATGGAAGTTAGTTTCCTGCCATCAATCACCATTTTCAAATTGAAACCCAAACGACACACCTTTTGTCCGAAGGACATTTCCCAACCCACTTGCACGATGGATGCTCGCATCGCATAGAGGCATCAACCAACTGTGCCGGCGAGCTCATGAATTCCGATGTGTAAGATGGCTCAGACACAGACCCATACTGAGGATGATCAAACAAAGACCCCGACTCGGTGGACATATTCTCTGTCATGTCGATGTGAGGGCTCGAGGAATCCACGCTGTACGAAGAAGCAACCACAGATTGCGTTGCACAGCTGGTCGCTCCGTACCCGGAATCCGTAGAGTGATAGCTATCTATGTACTGGCTCCCGTTCTCGGAGGGTTCGCTATATCGATGTTGCGAGAAGCAGCAATCCTGGTCGGGCATATGGGCAGGCATGTTCATATGTGAGATGGACGAAGCGGGTGGAACGCCGGTGGCCAGCAGCGGATTCCAGGCATCTTGGTCGCCTGTCAGACGGGAGTGAGTGTATTGGGAGTAGTATGAGTCTCGGGAATGTGAAGACCATTGGCCTAGGAGTGGGTTAAGTGTTGGATCGAGTGATCCCAGTTGGAGGTCTAGTAGTGGGTTTGTGGCATCGAAAGGAAGTGAAGATTTAGTATCGGACAGATCATGTCCTTCGTGTCCAACCATGATGCCTTGTAGGACGTCTGTGGAGTCATTCCAGTCCAGCTGTGTTTCCTGAGGATGGAGTTAGATTATGATTCATTCATGTGGAGAGCTGGGGTGTTATAGAGCAAGCAGGGCACGAACCTCCATTGCTATATAATAATAATAGAGTCTTTAATATAAGCGAAGAAAAATTCGTAAAGTCGAGAGAGAGAGAATAAGCCAGTCAAAATGGGAGGGGCACAGTATTAAAAGGCTCACGATGCATGCAAATGCCAAACCCTACACGCGAGAGACACGCAAGCTCCACACCCTCGCCCCGAGCCGGTTGACTTCACCACGCGATAGGCGATTCAAGGGTTGGAATGTGTTAAGCGAACATGATTATTAGGAATATGCCCAAAAAAGAAAAAGAAAAAGAAAAGAAAATAAGAATCTACATAAAAATGTAAAAAGGAAGAAATTGCTAAAAAAATAAAAATAAAAAGCAATACTGAAAATACTGAAATTTGAAAGGTAAAAAGGCTAAGACAAAAAAAGTTCACCCTCGCGTGTTGCCAGCGTGGAATGCAACATGTCATCCCTTGATTGCACAGCCCCTTCACCCGGGTAAATATTATAATTTGTATGGAGAACGGAATATACAGGAGGTAATATTATGATGATATCTTCCATAACAATGAGGCTGATAATTAATATCCAATAACAGATCATCAACACCTTAACCCAGGTCGTCCGATTGACGATCCGCTATACTTCCCCCCTCATCCCCCGAGGTTCCCGGGGTTGATTCAGCCCACTTCTAATATAATCTCAGATAAATCCATAATTTACACGTATCACACCCACACACCCACGCACATAGAAAATGTCGTTAGTCTCGCTGCACGAGGCATGCAAGACAAATCCAGACAAATCCAGCCCCTCATGGAGATCTCGAGATAAGTCTCTAAAGGGGAGGAGGGGCTGCAAGGGAGCAAGGACCGGATTGGGCTGTGACAGGACAGACGATCGACATAGCTGATCGACGGCGATACTCGCTTGCCATGTTCGTGCCGCAAGGGATAGTTAAAATAAGATAAATGCGCACGTTTATACGCGATATGGAGTAAATGTTATGCAGTTTCAGATTTAGGAGTTAAGGAGGGCTGTCTGACTTTGAAACGAGAGTATTTGAATTTATAACCTTAATCGGATAGATACTCCGTCTCGTCTTGTGTGTCCTGTATGTCCACAGATGTTCACTCCAGGCCCGGGGGCTGCCCAGGTGGGGTACACTTTATGTCATGAACCGTGGAACCATGTCTTAAGTGGGAACAGCCTAGTACAAAAAAGGAAAAGCCAAAACATAAATCTGATCTCTCATATGCCATGCACATCGCCGTTTAGCAAATACGCCATTCGGTCTGAAACGGAATTCCTGAGCGCCCCAAATATGTACAGAGAGATATTGAGAGTACATGTTAAAATCATCATCATAGTCATCATTCCAGAAATGCATAAGACTGGGACCTGCTTGCATAACTCTGCTGATGCTGGAAAAAAAGGGTACAGGAATTCCTTCTAGTGATCATGTGCTATCTATTACGATGCAGCTGATGTGGAAAAATAGATAGCAGAACGGAGAAGGGGAATAAGCAGAAAAGAAGAAAAAAAGGAGAAAAAAACAAAAAAAAAAAAAAAAAAAAAGGGGGAAAGACGATCTCAAGGGAGCATCGTATTTATAATCACATTCGGGAGGGACATCCAGAAGAGTAAGTCGCAGAAGTGTAGGGGATGTTGGACTCCATGGGTTGATAAGCCGGGTAATTATCGGGATACAAAGAGGGATGAGGGAGAAACTGAGCGAGAGGATACGAGTGTTGCATGAGATCTGCCTCGGGGGATCTTGATCTCGGCACAGTGTTATAAGGCGGTGGGTACGTTACCGAGTTCTGATGCAGGGGATAGACCTGGGCCTGAGCGGGGTGGAGTGTAGTTTGGTCAAATTGATCTGGCGTCTGCGTGTATGCTGAGAACTGATCAGGGATGAGAGAGTCTGTCATGGACTCGGGCTCCATGGAAAGTTCGCCGCCAGAGATGGTGGAATAATTTGTCAGCGGGACGTTGTTGATTGAGAACGCAGGGTTGGCGGGCGTGCTAGTGTTTCGGATCGCATACTGCGGCTGCAGATGGGTGGAGGCCGTTTCGGGTCCTTCGTGTCTAGGGTGATATGGCGCAACAGAGGGATAGGTTGCGGCCAATGATCCGCGATTTGTCTCCACTTGGCTGGGGTTGGCGACATGGGTTTGAGCGTTGCTCGGCTTCGCTAATCGCAAAACGGGCAGGGCTAGTTGCTCCAGGTGTTTGCCAAGGTGGACTGACAACTTTCTCCACTCACTACAGACATTCCCGCAGAAGCGGCATGGTTCCTGCTGGGGGGCCTGTGCGGTGTCATGCCGACATTCTTCGACCATTTTCCATAATCGATCAAGCTCTTGCTCCCTTCGGCTATTCGGAACAGCCTCAGCATCCACAGTGCTAGAGGCTTTGCCCGTCTTTTTGATCTTGGGCTCTGGCATTTTGTGTTCCCGCACCAAATGCTGAACAAAATTGTCCTTACGATAGCATTTGTGGCTGCACTCGGGGAATGTACAAGTCCACCACTCCAGGTGCCGGTGTTTCTCATTCTCATGGCGAACCCAGTCTGCTTTACGCTTGAATGACTTGGGCTCGGTGCAGTGGGGGAATGTGCAAGTAAATGGCTGCACATCCTCGTGAACGTGTTTGGACCAGTCGGACGGTTTTTGGAATGTTTTTACTTCGAAGCAAATGGGGCACTCAAACCGGGCGGGAAGACGAGTGACTGGCGGAAGGGGCACTCCGGGAGGGAACTGTGTCGCGGCCCCTGTGCCGTCGCCTGGAGAATACTGTTGCTCGTGTCCATAATTGAAACTTGTAACTTGGAACTGGATTTGTCCTCCCTCAGGATCGTTGGGGGCCTTGGGGTCCTGCAACAGAGTGGGTTGCCCTCCCTGAACAGTACAAAAGTTGTCGGATTTACACATATGGTTGGCAGCTGCAATAGAATGCTTCTGTTGCAAATCAACCAAGATCTTGTATCGACGATTTTGCTCATGTGCTAGGCGGTGAATCAAAGCCGGCTCAAGCCTTGGATTCAACTGCATGATCTGCGATCTGAATCCTTCGATTGTCGGCACTGGGAGACTTTGAACAGCAGGGAAATCCATAACCACGCCTATGTTATTGCTGGTGTCCATGTCATTCTCATCTTCGGCGCCTCCGGTTTCAGGGCCCAGAGGTGTACTTCTGGGTGTTTGGTCGGTGTCCGAACTGACTCGAGGCGATGTGATGTTTGGAACTGGTGGTCCACCATGAGCGGTCATAAGATTTATTAGCCCGGGGCTACTTGGTCGGGGGATCTCGCTTCTGCTTCGACCTCGACCCTTAAATTGGATGTTCAAGGAACTCCTCTCCGGATTTGGCGAGGGTGCAGGCGATACTGCTCGGACAGGCTGACTACCCCCGATAGCCGTCATTTGGCTGGTCATTGAAAGAAGTGCGTTACTCAAGCTTGGCGACCGCGAATGGCGACGGTGCAAGAACCCATTTCGTGGTGAGGAACTCGGTTTTGCCGGTGTGTCCTCCGTATCACGATGAGGAAGCCCGGGGTAGCTATTAGATTGACCAATGGAAAGGTCAGATGCTTGGCGCTTCAGAATTGAGGATGCCTGTAGAAATTGACGCTTAAACAGACTGGTGCGTTTCTTGGGTTGTTCGGTGAAGGAAAAGTTCTCGAGAGATGCACCAACATTGATAATGCTATTGTTATCAATGGTTGCTGCGAGCGATGCCGTTTCAAGATCCCGCACACGTCTGTTAAAAGCTATCATAGCGTCGGTAGAGCTGTCCGGCTGCATCGCTTCCGATCTGGGTGTCGCATCGCGAGGGGGATCATGCCAGGGATAAAGACGGACACTTTCCTCAGCTTTTATCGGAGAGAAAGACGAGTAGACATCCGGGGTGCTGCGATCATATCTGCCAGGTTCATCTGCATCGGCTGTGGGCTCGTCGGAGTAAGTGCCAATGCTTGCTTCATCTTCGCTGATGTCGTCGCTGCTCTCATGAACTAGTACACCGGGTCCAGGGAATGATGCGTCTGTGGTGTGGGATTTTAGGTTGAAATAATCTTCTTGTTTCAAAGGGTGGTCCCCGGTACTCCTCGCTCGAAGTCTCCTGGAAACATGGTGTAGGCGTGGAAGCGGTGGACTAGGTGAGTCCCCACCGGCATCGCTGTTGGCTGCGCTTACCGATACAGACCAGTGGGAAATGTCCTCATTTTTCTCGTTCCGTTCTCGCTGAACATGAATATCATTAGGGCTTGGTACAAATTCATCTCCACGGGACCTTGGATCAATGCCAGCTAGATGGGTTGATGGGTTTGGAATCCATCCGCCGTCCTTAGATCGCTTCACGGGAACAGACGAAACCGAGTGACGATCGCCATCATCTTCGTCTTCCAGCTCGCTTGGATTAGCAGATAGGTGTGTAAAGGACTGGCCGAGACGTCCTTGCGGTGACGCGCTGCGTTCCTCGGGCGAATCGCCTCGAGTGAAAGTTGTAACCTTGACGACGGGGCTTCTTCCCCTAGTTGCGCTCGACGCCAGCTCGGTGGTCGACTCCTCGTTGGTCAAGACACGGAGTCTCGATGGCTCGGCGGCTGTGTTCAAGACACCGAGGCCAGCCTGATACGAGGTGGGGATTGATTGTTGTACGCTAGAATTGCTATAAGGCTCTAGACCTGCGGATGGCGAAATCGGGTTCGGGTTGCGGTCCGAGCTCGTCCACTGAAAAGCATTCGGTGCCATAGACGAACCCCATGCCGGATCAACGGGCGCAGTACCCTCCCCAACCCTATACGATGGTAGGTTTTCATTTTGCCATGTCGAACCACTATCCAGTTCGATATCTTTTGGTTCCACGAAGACACTTGTATCAGAAATAGGGGAGGTACAAGTGCTTCGGTCCGTATGATCATTTGTTCTTGGGTCCAAATAGCCCTGGATTGTGGAGTCGATCCGAGTGTCCTCATGGGGGGATGAGCTAGGTCCCGCACTGTGCCCAGGACTTCCCCGCGATGGCGTTGGCGTTAATCGAATGGCACTGGCTTGAAAGAAGACTTCCTCCGGGTCGGATGCGGCTGACAGGTAAGGATCCGGAGCATATCGATCTTGAATCGCATCTGCTGGCGATTGCCCCTGAGCGCTGAGTGGGGAGGCGCGCGACATATTCAAATGGCGGTCAATTAGCCTAAGATTGACCGCGAAAATGAGGGGAGTATCAAATCAAGTCGATTTAAAAAAGCATCGAGTGGGGAGGGTGTTCGGTATAATCTATGGAAGCAATTTTGCGATTATATTGGAGTTTGTTGCCCAGTTGTGTTTGGCGTCCTGTTGTCATGTCCTGTATAACCTAGTCCTGGTATGGTCTTTTTGACCCTCCCAATACATAAGGTAGTGGAGACTGAGACTGAACAGACGATGCCCCAAATAGTTATAGTTGAAATTGTACTTGAACTTGAAAACCAAGAAACAAAGTAAATGAAGATGGAAGATTAAAGAAAAAAAAGAAGAAGAAGAAGTGATGGGGGCCGAAGATCAGTCGGAGATGAGGGGGACAGCTGAACAAGCGCCGGGCGCATCCCTCCACTTATGATTTTATGCAGGACTAATAAGAGAATCCAGTATAAGAACATATATATTAATATATTATCTCTCTTAGTCAATGGCACAGGTAAATGCCTGTCAGCCTTGTTTAAAAGAAGAAACAGGAATTCTCCCTCAAAAAAAAGCGGAGCATTTTTTTGGTGTTTTTTTTTTTTTTTTTTTTTTTTAGAGCCTCACGAGGGAACGGCTCACAGCAAAGAAGCCCCCTTGTGGCTGTGCAAGTTGTATTCTTTCTTTACATCATGGCCTATGAAGTAGTAACTAGTAATGGAGTCTATGGTATTTCCACAAGTAGAAAGTATACATAACTAGGGTAATATGTTTATTATATACGCGCCCTAGCCACAGCATTCCCATTTCTATTCTTATCCTCTCTGAGCTCAGCCTCCCGTGGGGGTCCATCACAACATTATAGGGCTGAAAGTATTGGATGAACGTATTGGATGGGTTAGCTAAATCAAGTGAATTTACCCTTTGACTTTGGAAAGAAATCACTCGTGAAACTGGCTTATGCAGCATTCACATTCCTAGGTTCTATCTATATATCTGACTAGTGTCAGTACATGGGGCATAATAATAATAGATCCCTCCCTACGCGCCCATTAATATATTTATAAACCACATGGTTTATAAACAACCCCTTTGATGAACATGTCAAGATACCATCAATTTCTGAATCCTACCTAGTTACAAACAAAACTGCAATAAGTCTTCAATAACTTCAACCTTCGGTTAAGGTTTGTACCGAATGTATGGTGAAAACTCCTTCAACCAAAGATGCAACGATCAATCACGATCACAATTCTATACGCCCAAATGACAGGTTGGTCAGTAACTGATTTTTAGTTCAATTCTACCTAGTTGTAGGTAGATTTGGGCTACTGGCGTCTGTGTCTTAGATCTCCCATGACGTGCCCCGCAGTAACGACTCAGCCTCAATAATAAGAAAGGATAAGAAAGCCCCACAGCTTTTATTCTAACCACAAAGATTCATATCTTATGACCTGTAAGGAGTCAAGATATGTAAGGAGTCGTACATTGGCCTAAAATCATGAGGTTTATTCTGGCAATGGTGTACTAGTTCACAATTTGGCTGATGACAACGTTGGAAGTAAGGCACTATTGGGGATAACTAGTGAGGACGGGGCTGTGGAAGTATTTATACCCGGACATATAGATCCTGGTTAGGCACCTTATTCGCTTTTAGTATAATACTTCCTTCAATATAAAAAGACCACTCCGTATTCAAAGCCCAAGAACATGTGTAAACTATATTTTCAGATTGTCCCCCAGATAAGATAGGCTTTTCGATAGCAGCCTAAGCCCTAGAGGGTTGTAAGATCCGGGGTCAGCACGAGAACAAGATGCAATTGGATGGTTGAAACTCCATGAAACACATACTCTCGGATCCTTATCTTAGATCAGATCGGATCAAGTCCTCTTACTGTCAATAATTGATCTGACAGTCATAGAAATTGGAGGGACTCGGGGATTTCCCGTGAGCGATCCAAAGCTCCCCAGTGATGCAAGAGAGTCTTAGCTGCTGCCATAAAATAGATAAGATGTTTGGAAATTGTTCTAGCTATTATGAGCCATGTGAAAGTCCATTCTACTAGAGAATATATGTGCTGTGGACCCCCAAATCCAAGAATTCAGGATTGCGATCCATTCTAGCTCTCATCATGGCCGACGGTGTAAGTATATTGATTGAAATGACCCTTGCACACAGCTGACATGGTCATATAATATAGCCAGTATACAATGCGTCTACCCCAACAGGCGGAGATCCACTCAAGGTCGATGTAAATGCTCAATATGCAGGCGTCGAATGGAACTACACCTACATCATATTCTGCTCGTTCATTGTTTGGTTGATAATCCCCGGGATCGGTCTTCTATACAGTGGCCTCGCACGCAGAAAATCAGCGCTGGCATTACTCTTCCAGGCGTTCATGGTTGTGGCTGTGTATGTTGAGGTCTGCTCCAAACCCCACGTGTACATGTGCATTGTACTAACAAAGATTCCACCAGAACAACCTTTCAATGGATGTTCTGGGATTACTCTTTGGCCTATGCTCGAGATGCAAGTCCATTCATTGGGACCTCTAAGAACTTTGGGTTGAGAGGTGTGATGGTAGCACCATCACCTGGCTCGGCTGATCTCCCAGAGATTGTATTCTGCTTTTATCAGCTTCTATTCTGCGCGTGCACGGTAAGCAACACCTGGCAATTCAATGTCGAATTTAAATTTAATGGAATCCCGCGGAAGGTCATGATCGTTGTCGGCGGTGCATTCGAACGAGGCAACATGATCCCCTCGCTGATCTTCAGCTTCTGCTGGGCGACCATCGTCTACTGTCCCCTAGCCTGTTGGACTTGGAATAGCAACGGGTGGCTGTATAATCTCCCGTCGCTTGATTTCGCCGGTGGCGGCCCAGTTCACATCGCATCTGGTTGGTCGGCATTGGCTTATGCCTTTGTCCTGGGGAAGCGCAAAAATATCGACCGCCCTTCACAGGCGAAACCCCACAACACCACCTTAGTCTTCTTGGGGACGGTGTTGATCTGGTTTGGATGGTTCGGGTTCAACGTATGTCACACCTGTGCCTTTTTTCTAAACTCGAATCTGACAGTAGTTATTTATTAGGGCGGCTCTGCCCTCAATGCCAATGTGCGGGCAATGCTAGCGGCATTTAACACCAACACTGCGGCTTGCACAGGAGTACTAGGATGGGTGCTGGTTGACTATATCAAGCACCGCGGGAAGTTTTCGGTAGTAGGATCGTGCGAAGGCGCAATCGCAGGGCTAGTTGGCATCACGCCAGCGGCCGGATTTGTGTCTGTGTGGCTTGCGGCCCTCATCGGGTTCCTCACGAGTATCGTTTGCGCCCTCCTCCAAGATATCAATGAGTGGTTACACATAGACGAGGGGATGGATGTATTCAAGCTGCACGGTATCGATGGGATGGTGGGGGCCTTCCTTACCGGGATCTTTGCGTCGCAGTCTATTGCGGCGTTGGATGGCGTGACCGAGGCTACTGGAGGCATTGACGGCAATGGAGTGCAAGTTGGAAAACAATTAGCCGAAGTGTGTGCTATCTCGGCATATTCTTTTATTGTCTCGTGTATCCTGCTCTACATTCTCAAGTTCGTACCGGGGATGCAGTTGCGGGTGGATGAGGAGGCGGAAGTGGTTGGCCTGGACCGCGCGCAGTTTATTGATGAGCAGATTGGTGAACGGTTGCTCCTGGACGATTTATGCGGGTCTTCATCACCCACAAGGGTGCTTGATGGGCAGGTTCCTGTAGTGGTTGACTCTCAGGAAACGAAGACGTGACAGGGTTACAGCCCGTCTCGTGACTCCAGCCTCCATAATTGTATGTAGAACATACGTATAACTAATTAACCTGTCTCGGATCCATTAACTTAATGTTTTCTAATTTTATTTTTTTATGTCCTTTTGTCTATCTCTTTTATGAATAATATTTTAGTGAGAAATGTCTAAGAAAAACAAGCTTGTGATTTGCAATTTGTGTTAAAATCCGAGCATAAAGTGATACTAGGTAGTATCCATATACCAGTCAGTACTCTCATACATGGAGAAGGCTTCTAGCCACAGGGAAAAAATATGAAAAGCCTTGGCCAAGACATATACCCTGCACCAGACTGACGCAACGAATCTCCGGCTTCCAAGACCGGGGAAGGGAGGGGCTGACGTATACTTTCCCCTCTCCCCAGCATTCTAGTGTAAGCCCTGTAAGCCCTGTAAGAGGGTCCTTTTCAACCTACATTCCATGATGACGAAGCTGGAATACATATCCGCTTACAATGTATATGTAACTAACTACCTAACTATAGTTAGTTAATAAATGATGAAGTTGAGATACATGTAGTCAAGACCCAAGTGGAACCGTCCCATGTCAAGATTTAAAACCGTTTAGGTTGCATGCCGCAGTGAGACGTGTACACATCTGCAGGAGTAAATAACCTTGAAGGTATATGTGGTACATTCGAGATTGTACGATGTTGTAGATCCTTCGATGTTACTATAGATGTTATAGTTAGTTACTAACCTTGGAAGTTATCCTAGTTCTGTTATAGTTAGTATGTTGTATGTATGTTGTATCGTACGATGAAATGAAAATAAGGGAAAAGAAAAAGAAAAAGAAAAAAAAGAAAAAAAAGAAAAAAGATTATTTGGTCACAGGAAGTTACGTTACCCACTAGTTACTCCACTTTCCCTAATTTAGACCAATCTGGGCCCTTTTCGTCACTTAAAATTCCTAGTCCGGCCCGTCATGTTTCGTACCGCCCCGGAGTCGTCGCGTCCAGGCCGCTTTTGGCACTCTCCTTATCTTTCTTGGCTGGAGTCCCTCTCTCTCCTCTCTCTCTCTCTCTCTCTTCTCTCTCAAGTCTTCTTTACTTCCTGTCATTCGTTTACCCCATATTCTTGCTCTTTAATTTGAAGAATTGTTCTCTTTCTTTTTGACAAGTCTGTCATGATCTGCGAATAATCAAAAGTCCAAATGGGCAAATGTATGCAGACCCACCTCAACTTTCATGATGCGGCAAATTGACCTTTCTATTAGGGCGTTATGGTGTTGTCCTGGACGCAGGCTCGTCTGTATGTCGACCTATTTTGGGAGGCTCGGGGTCAGATCACTAATCAACCGTATAGGGGACTCGCGTACACGTTTACCGATGGCTACGAAATGCCGCTGCACGAAAGCATGCCCATGTAGAGGAGTTGAAATCGCTGCCGGAAATCAAAACCAAGGAGGAATGGACGAAGAAGATCCACCCTGGTGAGTAGTTCTCGAGTCAATACCAACCAACAACCCAACACTAACCCACCTGCGCAAAAGGTGTTTCTTCATTCGCCAATAGACCTGAATTGGTTGGATCAGACCATCTCGCTCAACTGTTAGATCACGCCAAGGAAATCATTCCTGCCGAGGATGCCAAGGATACTCCCATATTTCTCCTCGCCACTGCGGGCATGCGACTGCTAGGAAACCTCGAGCGACAATTGCTTCTGGATCAGATCTGCTCTTATGCTCGCGATAACTCTGACTTTTTGCTTCCGGACTGTGGTGTTCACATCCAGGTGATTCCGGGTGTGACCGAGGGACTATACGGATGGATTGCGACAAATTACCTGATGGGATCCTTCGATGCCCCGGAAAAACACGACCACGGAAAGGGACACAACACCTACGGATTCCTCGATATGGGTGGCGCATCGGCCCAAATTGCGTTCGCTCCAAATGTTACGGAGACAGAAAAGCACGCCGAGGACCTCAAATTGTTGCGATTGCGGAATATCGATGGATCGGTTCAAGAGCACAGGGTGTTTGTCACTTCGTGGTTGGAGTTCGGCGTGCACGAAGCCCGAAGACGCTATCTAGATGCTTTACGGACGGCAATTGGGCCGGATATCAAAGAGTTGCCTGACCCTTGTCTTCCCAGTGGATTGCGGACTACGCTTGATGGCAAAGTCGCATCGGCAAGCGAGACGGAAACATACCTGCTAGGTACAGGCAAATTTGACGAATGTCTCCGTCAGACATTCCCATTGCTGGATAAGGATGCTCCGTGTGCGGATGAACCGTGTCTGCTAAACGGTATCCACGTTCCAGCTATCGACTTCGATGTTAACCATTTTATCGGGATCAGCGAATACTGGCACACGACTCACGAAATTTTCGAGATGGGATACAAGGACAAAGCATACGACTTCAACACATATCAAGAACGGGTTCAAACGTTCTGCTCTCAAGACTGGGACGCCATTGAGCATGGCCTTGAGCAGCATAAATGGGGAAAGAAGGTTGATCATCAAAAGGCCCACGAAGTATGCTTCAAGGCATCATGGATCATCAATATGCTACATGATGGCATTGGAGTTCCTCGCGTGGGTTTGGAGGATACAATTGGCTCTTCGCATAATGGAACTAAAGAAGTCCTGGCTCATGGAAAAGAAAAGGGCTATCTTGATGCGTTCCAGGCGGTCAACAAGATTGACTCGACCGAAGTGAGTTGGACTTTGGGTAAGATAGTCTTGTACGCATCCTCTCAGGTGCCTCTAGAGATCGAAGAAGGTCTCCCGGTAGGCTTTGGCAGCAACCTCCCCGGGATCCCGGCCGACTTCCAGTATCCCAGTGTTCAACTACTACCGGATTCAGACAGCTTCCACAGTGAGCACTGGCATGACGCACTATTTGACGGTGATTCCCCCGCCGGATTCCAGGCTTCGTCCTCTTCATGCTCATTGTTGTCATGGCCGGTTTCTTCTTGTGCGGACGCAGCCGTCGATCGCGGATCTTCAACCGCGTGAGCAACGTGTTACGCCGTGGTGGACCATCGCACCCCAATCACCCTAAGAAACGAAAGGGACTCAAATCGATGTTGCCATTCATCAACCGAAGCGCCCCCTCTTATGAGCGAGTTCTCGAGGACGGTGCTCAAGATTACGAGCTTGGTGCCATCGAGTCCGATGGGAGCGAGGATGGTGGACGTCTTTCCGAGGCAGACTCGGCTAGACTGGGACCACCGAAGCGAGCGTCGAGCTGGGGCAGCAACAGCAACACTCCCAGTTTCAAATACGCGTTAGATAACAGTTCGACCGGGACAATTGGTCTTGGGATCAGCGGTGGTGGCGGTGGCTCAGGCATTGCTATGGATCGAGCAGGCTTGGTAGTCAGGACGGAGAGCAGGGACCACCTGGCTCCCATTGCTTTAGGCCCTACAACCAACGGACGTCGATCAAGAGCTGGTAGCCCAACAAGATCCCACCAAAAATCTCCCAGCATGACCCCCCTGGCCGACGACTAACGCGACATATTCACCTGAACCGAATTATGCATAATTACTTACACTGCATTGCATTTTCAATTGGAGTTTGACTTGTTTGACATGCGTCGATTCATTTCGGTGCTGTCTGATTTCTTTTTTTTCTTTTTTTTTTTTTCCTTTCTTTTTCATATGCAAAGGAGGTTCATGTTTTTAACGAGTCGCGTGCGTTATGGCAGCCTGCTTTCGATTCTTCATGTCATATTTCAAACACTGTGCTCTGGAGTACCTTTTTGTTGGTTGGTTGCGGTGCTTTTGATCTTAGGCCGGTGATTTACACGTAATGAGGTGTGTACTATTAGTGGTTGAGAATGTTTTTCCTGAATATAGATTAATACATTTCCAAGGTCTATCTTGTATTTGGATTGTACATCTTAGTGCTGATTAATATTGATCAATTGATTCCAAGGTTAGTTATGCTACCTAGTAACTAATACCTGGAGGTAGGCAATTACATAGATGTTCGCAGTCCAAGTCATGTTGATGCCAGTAATTCCAGGCAAAAGGAAATATCACATGACTGTATTTTCACCGCCTGGCAAAAAATGATGTAGAGAGAAACTGGCGCAAGTAGCTTCTGATTCACTCGTTGCATTGATTCACTAAGCTTGTTCAATATTCTTCCAGAACACTTCGCCTATGCCGTCGCGATAAAATTTACCATCCCATACACCCTTTACTCTCGGCAACTGCCACCACCGTCGTCACCATGCGCTTGACCGCTGAGCTCATTCAAAGTTCCCTAACATACATCAATCCGCTCACAGATCGTGAGCTGGATCTCCGAGGTGCGTTCACCCACTACACACCTGCCTGAAAAGAACAGGTACTACACTTTTGATAAGAGCTGGATTGATATCGTCTGTTTGTGTGGTCGTGTAGGTCACAAGATCCCCACAATTGAGAACTTGGGTATCGCCAAAGTAAGTGCTGTGGTTCTTCCCAATCCTCGAGGCAGATTTGTCTCTGTTGTCTCTCTCCATATCGCTGCTAGACCTATTTCTGAGTCCAGTCCTCAGTCAACTCAGTCATTCCTTGCGAACCCGATGTTGACAGCTCCTAGGATCAAGATACGATCGACTTCACCGATAATGACATCTCTTCCCTCGGAAACTTCCCCCACTTCCCTCGCCTCCGCACCCTCCTCCTCGCCCGCAACCGTATCAATCACATCCAACCGGCACTCGCTACTTTAGTGCCTAACCTGACGACTCTGGTCCTGACCGACAACAATGTGTCTGAACTTGTCCACCTCGATCCCCTGCGGACCTTGGGACGGCTGACACACTTGTCTCTCGTCCAAAACCCGGTGACACGCAAAGAGGTTTGTCTAGTCCTTCATGCATATGCTAGTTATATTTGGCTATATATTATATGGCCTGGATTCTGTTGGAAGTTAAGCTAACTGGTTCTCGTAGAACTACCGATACTGGCTCATCTGGCGCATTCCCTCCGTTCGCTTCCTTGACTTCCAGAAAGTAACTGACGCCGAGCGCGCCACGGCTAAAGAGCTCTTCGGCACCTACGAGGAACCCTCATCCCTCGCATCCAAGATTCTGGGTGTCAAGTCCCGCACCTTTGACGTTTCCGCCCCGGCTGAACGCACCCCCGCCGAAAAGGGGGTCCGAGTACAACTCACGGACAAGGAGCGCAAGCGCGTTGAGCAGTTGATTCGTGACGCGAAGAGTCTGCAGGAGATCACCAAGTTGGAGAAAGAGCTTAACGAGGGACGGATACCCGGTGGAGCGGATGTCGATGGTGATGAGGCCATGCACATGTGAGAGATGATATCTGGCTCTCTCTCTCGTGGATTGTGTCGTGGATCATGAACATGCAATCACGTTTTGTTGTCTTTCTTTTCTTTGGAGCTTAGCTTTCTGGGTTTCTTTTCTGACCGGGTGGGGTTTAGTGTGTATCGTATCTGGGTATTCCTTTATTCATGTGCCTCTAGTCTGGGATCGAAAAAAAAAAATCTCAGCTATGAATTGTGAGTATATCGAATTGAAAAAAAAGAGTATTTGGTGCTTCAAGAGAAAAACATCATGTTAGACTATCAGGCTGTATCTGGAGTAACAATCATCGAGGTGCCCTAAACAGCATTGAGCCTACGAGTTCGTCTCTGCGACTTCACTACTATTGTCTTATATAGCTTCAATCCCTGTAAAGTATTGATAGACCAAGATGTAATCTCAAGGCAAAAATTATATGATATTAAGTCAGATAAAGTCCTATGTACGATTTTGCTTCAGCCTTAAAAATATATACATCAACTCGATACCAACTTGGGGATCATTCATACCCAGGATCAAAGATCCTCGCCTTGTAAAATTCAGCATCATCCCACCCTCTCTTATCCGTCACGGTATTGGGTGCGCTCTCATCACTAAACGACACATACTGTCCCATATCACCTTTTGCCCCGCGCACCCAGGCATACTCCCCAGAAGAATGCTGAACCAGAGACTTAAGCTTATCGACCCCCATGAGAACATCAAATTCCGCACTGGTTGTGTTGTACTTATACGCAGCAGCAGTATGCGTCAACAGCAAGATGTCATCATCCTTGTAACTGGCAGAAAGGTCGTGACCATTTCGCGCCCTGCCTTTCACCTTAGGCAAAGGGATTGGTTTTCCATCCCTCTGTAGCTCGATGTCCTTACCTTTTCCCACCACATCATATTTGTGAAGGTAATCCTCCCCGATGGCCCATAACTTGCTACCATGCCAGAGCACCCCATGAGCCTTTTGAACAGTATATTCATGGCTCTTCTTGATCTTTTTCAGATTGTTGACATCTGACGCATCAGTTGGAACATACAGCGTCAGCTTATGGGAGGCCGAGCTTGCGGCAACAAATGCTCCTAGATAAGGGATTCGTTCGAGGGAATGCGGGTTGCCATCAGGTGTTGCTGACCAGATGACGTCGTCTATCGTCGTGGACTTCTGCCCAGATTTGATATCGATCATACCAACTTTGCCTCCTGACGCAGCGACCAGGGCAACCAGGCCCCGGTCAGCCGTTTTGCGGATTTTGACTTCAGAAAGGTCGGCCCAAACATCCTTTTGCCAGGGCCATGGGTTCAGGTCGGCAGTGAAAGACCAGTGAATGGCGTCTTTGTTCCATTTAGACGCATCTCTTGGGAAGATGCGAACGGACTTGGAGTGCTGGTCGGTAACAGCCAGATGGTAGGCTGTTGCGAAGGGAGCTGCAATGGAGAGACAGAGGAGAGTATTTTTAAAATGCATCGTTGTGATGATGATAGATGTTGATTACACCACTAAGGAACAAGTCACTGGAAAGAAAGTAGACAAGGAGGGATCTCATGAATTTATATCTTCTCCAAGCTTCTACGGGATGATACTATCAATTTGATTGGGGAATTGCTTCGCCATACAACTATTGGGAAAACCATGCTCGTAAAGCTCGTATACAGGCCAATGTGAAGCTCATTCTTGCCATCGACTCGGGCAAGATTCAACTAACTTCCGCGGAAAATTAGAATGAAGCTATTCTTAGATTCTCAGATCGGGGCTACTCCCAAGGGCGGGATAGGGTTTGGCAGGCAAGGGCTGTGCAATACGAGTTCTTCATTCTTTACAACCTCGGTATAGCGACAGGGATAAAACGGAACATAGCTCGTATAATGCAGATCCGATGGGAGATCGAATTAGTTAACCAACAATCACTTACCATTCAAGCTGTGTCCCACATAATACGAGCCTACCCCAAATTCCTTTAACATTTCATCCCGCGTGTTGATCCGAGCGGCCTTTCATGCTTGAAAGCTATTTTCAACATGCAGAAAGGGCTTGACTACTCTAACTGGACTAAGTCTCGTATTCTATGGCGATCACATAATACGAGTAAAGCGAGGGGAAAGGCCCCTTTACGGATATGTGTATGGTTACACTTCATCTGCGGCTAATAGTCTTGACACTCGCTGGATCAAAGTAGTGGACTACGCTATAACTTGTGTCTTCCCCGAGAGCTGGAGTCACTCAAAATTGCTGGTCAAAAGAAAACCAAAGTCCCATCATGCGGTATTATTATTAATTAGTCTTGACTACCCTTCTTTCTTTTTGCTTCACCGTCACCATCGCAGCAGACCCTCGTTAAGTATTATGGAGATCGGTACATTCTGGCCTACAAGGTCTAGTTTTACTGGATCTGTCATTGAAAGAAGTACGGAGTAGTTTAACTACAATATTGGTGGCGGTGCCGAGATGTCATAGTCGTCATGACTCATGATTGTTGAACTACAGTACCTGGTACCTTACCTATTAAGGCAACTGTAATAGTAGTTAACTAGAGATAGTTAGTTAGTGGAGATAGATATCAATACTACATGCTTAGTCCAATATGTCCATCCAATCATATTCAGGTTCAACAAGTTCAGAGTCCCCCTGGACTTGAAGAAACGCCACATCTTCACATTCAAGTCAATGTATAACATTCGACTGTATACAGTTTACACAGACTATAGAGATAGAATCCCGTTGAAATCCTATGCATATCACCCTACCATATACCCTACAACAGCTGCATCGTCCATGACAATTTCGGCAAAATGGGTCCACTCTACGAAGTGGATGAAATGCAATCCCCACTCAAAACAATCCAATCTAATAAACCAGCTAGGGAGCTAGAGAAACTAGAGAAACCGGAGTAGCTTTATAGCCATTCAGAACTAGGCCCATATCCAGTAACACCCCGAGCAGTGAATATAGCCAAGACTCCCGTTTCTTTCTTCCACCCCGCTCTTCCTTGACCAGGCCTCCGAATTTGTATACTACCCAGCTATACTCATTCAACATGCGCATAACATTAGCCATATTCTCGCTAGTTGGTGTACTCGCAGTATCGATAGCCGCTGCTACATCGCCCAATGTTGCGGTAGGCTGCAAGGCGCTGCAAACACCCCTTGGGAATTCGTTGTTCTTCGCCAGCAGCATTGTTTACAAGTACGAGGCAGCGAACTTCTGGTCGAACACGGAGCTGATGGATCCTGGCTGTGTTTTCCGACCGCAGTCCAGCGCGCAGCTTGCGGAGGGCATTGTGGCGCTAGCCGATGCCAATGCTCAGTTCGCTGTTCGGGGTGGTGGACACATGGGTATTCGGGTGGGTTTTTTGATCTTCAAGTTATTAACTGTAATAATATGTTGGTTTGACCCTGTTCTGACGGTCGCAGGGCTCCAATAACATCAATGATGGCGTCTTGATTGTTATGTCGAACTTGACTACTTTGGAGTTGTCGAAGGATCAGTCCATTGTGTCCATTGGTCCTTCTCACCGGTTAGTTCTTTGTTTCGTTCTGTTTGCACCGGTGATGGTCTTTACTTACCTCTGTTTAGGTGGAGTGATGTCTACGAATACCTACAGAAGTTCGAATTGACCGCTGCCGGTGGTCGTCTCGGCCCTGTCGGTGTGCCGGGATTGCTCCTCGCTGGCGGTGTCAATTTCTACGGTAACCAGGTTGGCTTCGGCTGTGATACCGTTGTCAACTACGAGATTGTTCTTGCTGATGGCTCAATTGTGGAAGCTAACAAGACGAGTCATCCGGATCTGTTCTGGGCCTTGAAGGGTGGAAGTAGTAACTTCGGCATCGTCACCCGGTTCGACTTGGAGACTATTAAGTCGGCCAAGGTATGGGCTGGTGCGCACACCGTGTCCGCTGAGCACATAGATCAATTTCTGGCGGTATGTCATATTGGTGTCCTTGGTTGCTCTAGGATTGGTTACTAACTGGTTTCATTAGGCTGCGGCTACCTACGCATCTGAAATCTATGACCCCAAGACGCACATTGTACCAGCTCTTTTGCCCGGCGAGACTACTCTCGCCTCCGTGATTCTGTTCTACGACAGCGACACTATCAGCTACCCCGATATCTTCAAACCGTTCACCGATATCCCGGCTATTAGCAGCACCCTTGACTTTAAGACGGTCGCCGAATTTGCCGCAGAAACAGCCGTAGTGGTGATTGATGGTATCAAGTACGATCCCCCGCTCAGAAGACTATGGTCTAGTAGCTAACCAGACTTAGTGATGTATTTGTCGCCGGAACTGTTAAGGGCACAAGCTACAAGGAGCTCCTCAGTGGAATCAGTATCATCAACCAAACCTTCTTCAACGAGCTCCCCAAGCTGTACGCGCAGGTTCCTACCGCCAACATCTCCACTATCCAGCTGGACTGGCAACCTATCGGCGCCGACTGGATGAAGGCCTCCGAGGCTCGTGGCGGGAATGCCCTCGGCCTGGACTCCGCGCATGTCTACCTCTGCTACGCGGAGGTGGTTGAGTGGATTGGGTCGGCTTATGATGAAATTGTCGCTTCCTGGGTTGAAGAGACAACGTACAAGATTAACAATGCTACCCAGAAGGCCGGCCTCCATGATGCATTTAACTACATTGGTGATGCTGCTGGATTCCAGTCTATCTTCCCTGGCTATGGTGCGGAGAACCACAAAAGGCTCCGTGATATTGCGAAGAAGTATGATCCTCGGGGTGTTTTCCAGACTCTAATGCCTGGTGGATTCAAGGTTTAGGACATCCTCGGGATGTGAATGATTCTTTCCGTGGATGGACAGAATATGCATATAGAGTATATACTGGCAGGATTTGCGCCTGTTACTGTTATACAATACTTCGAGGTTTCCAGAGGGTGATAAAATCCATGTTTCGCGTGATGCAACTGGCATTTGGGTTTGATGGCGAACAAATGGACTAGTATCTTAAAGATACCGATTGCAATTTAGTATGGGCAGATACAACTAGACAATGAATTCCCGGAGTCTTTCTTTGTTGAGAATTTCTGCTTCCACCAATCTCCCCGTCTCGGTAATTTTCCCATTGACTTGCTCATAGCGTACCAGCGCGGGAATGTTGTTAGTGCCCCACGTTGTCCGGTAGACATTCCGAGGGTTAATCCATCTGATAGATATAAGCTCAATGTATCAGATGACATGATTTTCAATATAATTTGGAAAGAAAATATCATAGGTTTAGGCACGGCCATGGTAAAACTTACTCGGGCTTTTGTCCAACCTCGACAATAGCTAATTCTGGCGCATCATCTCCGGAAAACGCGTTGTTGATATGGGGCAAGGCATCCCGTACGTCTGGGCACCAAGGTTGTTTGGTAATTGGATCTGGTGAAGATATGAAGGCAAGGAATAATTTCGAGTCCGGGCTCAATGCCAGCTCTGTCGCCGAACTTGGCAGTGTGAAATGTTTGGTGATTGGCATTCTTGCGACTGTGGATACCGTTCGAGATTGAGTGCAGAATTTGAACAAGAGGTATGGCCGAGACAATGGGATTTTCGAGATCCAAAGTCCAGGCATTTACAAATTCCCCGTTGACATGAGGTGTGGCCTTTGTTGATTGCATGACTAAGCGCATGGCAATTCCAGCGGTGTGCCTGACGCAACAATCAAAGGATTATGGATATTGCTCGATATCACCAATGTCATCAATATACAATGGCCAGACGGAGAGTATCTAGTTCCAGTCGCCTGGGGTGACCGACAAGAACGTGAATGGATTGTTGGTTAACTGAACGGAGTGTGTTTCACCTGCGAGGCTGATCCTAGGGAAACCACAGACGTCGGATTCTACGTGTAAAGGACGTTTTAATAGAAGCTTGAAAGAATATTAGAGGGTAGGCTTATGATCTCGTGCGTGCACATATCAAGGTTATCAGTGTGAGCCACATAGAGCACGGATTAAACATAGGCAAATCCAGTGGCCCCTAAAAGGTAGGCCCGCGTATTTAATTGACCTGGTCGGTTTCATCTTCGGCCTCCTCATCATTTCCGTCATCAAACAGTGCCCGTGAGGCATCCGTAGGCTCCCCAGGCCACAAGGTGGCATAGAGGTCACGCGCATCGGCCCAGTCTTCATAAAGACCATCAGAGCTATAGATAATTAGCATGAATTATCTGGACGGGTATAACATGCAGCATACCCAAGATCAATATTTTTCGGTGCCAGCATCCAAATCCTGAGAAGGATGCATGTAACGACAACATCGTATGGCTTTTGAGCAGTCTTGCAGAAAGTCCACTCGCCCGGCTTGCACAGGATGAAGGGTTCATGAGCCCCATCTTCAACCCCGTTCAAGTCTATGCCTTTTTCAGAGTCCACGAGCACCGGTGTAACTTCGTCTTCATACTTGGTTGGGCCGCTGAGAGGAATCCGGGCTTCTTTGATGATATTGGGGACATCTTGGATGAGCTGGGCCCAGGCCTTTTGCCATTCAGGAGTATCCCAGCCACGTATGGCATAATAATGCGTGTAACTTTTTCTTGTTAGTAATGTAATCTTTTTGGATGATGGATGGACTAACCCCATGGTTGAAGATGAGAGTGTTGTGGTAGTTTGTGTAGAGGAGTAAGTCGAGTTGTTGGAACGAAGTTGGAATGAAGTTGGAATGAAGTAGTTACCTGCTGGGACATTACATCACTTCACAATCCCCCGATCTCTTCCTGCTTTGGAGATAAAAAAAAATAAATAAAAAAAGAAACAAAGAAATGATGAAGAGCAGTGCAAGCCCAGGTGATCACTATTTTACAATTTACTGCATCTTTTAAGATGAACCAAATACAATCTTTGGCCTGAACAAACAGGTGTCTCAGAGCTTCCATTGCTCTAAGCAACCCCATCTTTATCCTCGTTCCCCCGTCTAACACAACTGTCTTTCAAACTTTCACAGAGATGGCTGAAGTGAGTATATATGAGCCTACTATCTAGATAACTTTAGGATGATTACGCTAACATCTCTCCTCTACCACCTAGTCAACAACTGATGAGCAATGTTTAGCTCCAGAGCTTCGTCAAGCTCTTGATGACTTGAAAACGGTTGTCCATGCGACAAATTGCTGTCTGACGACTTCTCGCTTTCTGGGCTCGTTCTCAAACATCAGTACCCAGCACTCGGAGATCCAGAGAGCTATCGAAAAAGTGACCCAGTTTGCACGGGACCAGGAAGAGAGGGCTGATCAGGCTGTTCAAAAAGCCCAAACGGCATTTGAAGCTCTGTCTCCTGAACACCAAAACAGCTTGATCCAGTACTACGGGGAGGATCTCAGTTTCTACCTTGAAATCGCCATTTCTCCAGACTCGTCGCATACACCTGCATCCCCTTTCAGGGAATTCCAGGTTTTGCTATTTGATATTGAAAACCTCCATCGTGCACTTGCCCGGGTACGTGGAGTGGAGGCAAACATCACCAATGTCTTTTCTAGGCTACCGTCCATCCAACGACTGAGGCGGGAAAACCGGGACGAGGAAATTCGGCTGTTAGAGCTACGCAGCTCGGCTGAGATTCAACTTTGTAGGCAATTCCTTGTCTTGGATCGGGAACAACAGGACATGCTCTGGTTATGGTATCAGGATTCTATGGGGATCAGTGCGACCCAGAGAGATGACAATGCGAAAGACCCTTACTCGGCTAGGAGTTGAGATGGAGACAGCCATGAGAATGATGAGATTGTCAATTCGAACAGTATCTCAATGTGCAATCATCATTGAAGCACGCAAACCCGCAAATAGGGAGAAAGAATATCAGATGCCTACAGTTTCCGATTGGTAGTATCATGCCTCGAATCGCCGACACATAATTCACCCATCAGCCAGATATGGGCTCTGAGTCAAACCACTCCATTTATCTCGTATTCTTTAATCCATTCAGATATTCGCCAATTATTGGGAGAGTGTGGGGTAGATAACGGGCCAAATTGCCGAGTTTCGGGAAATTGTCCTTTTCCTTATCCTCTCTGTCCACACTCTTATGACCCTTCGGATAACTGTCCAAATTGATTATGGACTCTGCCTCAAAACGACGAAGAAGAATAAGACGGGTTGCCGATGAGGATCGCAAAAGAGCACCCCGAGCGTATGCATGATTCATTCGAGATGATGCGTATCCACTGACTGGCCTAGATGCGATCGCTGCAAGACCAGAAAAAGCAGATGTGTGGAGGTGATACCGGGAAGATGTCAGTGGTGCTTTACGAGGAACCTAAGCTGCAGGTTTAGAAGGTAGAGAGTCCATGGTTTTGAGAAAACATCTGTCTAACATGCGACAGGGAGAGATCGGCTTCTGTTCAAGATACTGCGTCTAGTGCCCTCACTGAACCTAGCGTACTCACCACATCAAGCACCAGCCAACCACAGCTACTACAAGATAATGTCAATCATAATGATCCGCTTTCTCCGGCATCAGTCTTGTCCCAAAGGCTCGCCGAACATGTTGTTGCAGGTCAATCCAAAAGGGCCCCGTGGCCAAACATCCTCTCCCGTCTGAGGGAGGCTTTCTCGCTAGATAGAGATGCTGCTCCCGAAGAAAGGGACATGGTGGCCATGCAGGCCGTAAGTCATATTGATATTTTGATTCTCGGTTCATGCTAACTAACGAATTCAAGCATATGATGCGTTCAAAGGCACCTCATCCATCTGAGATGGCATGTTTACATGCAGCAATTGATGCATTTCCCCCACGGCCGGTTGCCGACTTCTTACTTTCGGTATTCATTAAACATGCAACAGATACATTTTTCTATTTGGACCAGGACCAAATGCTGTCTGATATTGACCAATTTTACATGGACACCACCTCGCCGTTGAGATCTGATTTGAGCTTTGTCTGTCTTGCAATGGCAACTTTCGCACTAGGCAGCCAATGGACGCCACTAGAAAGACCAGAAGGATTCGCAGTCAGCCTACATCGGGATAATGGTGATTTAGGCCAAGTGTTCTATACCCATGCCAAAACGCTTATCCCCGACCTGATTGACCGACCCTGTCTCCGATCCATTCAAGCGCCTTTTCTATTAGGTGTCTACCTAATGCCAGCGAGTGCCATTGGATCATCCTATATCTATATGGGCTTGGCTTTGCGCAAAGCAATGGCATTTGATCTCCATCTTAACCCCGAGGATCAAGCAGTTGATAGTCGGGAGAGAGAGGTCCGGTGTCGGTTATGGTGGTCAATATATTCCCTCGAGAGGTAGGTGACAGGACCATCGTCAACCTCAACCTCACTAACCACTTCAGATGTACTACCGTCAAACTAAGCAGGCCTCGCTCTATTGATGCCAATGTAATCAAAGTGCCACATCCATCGCCTCTCCCGGCACTCGATCGCCTACAAAGATACAACAATATTCAATTCCAGATGGCGTACAGTCGTCTAATCAAGATCCTCGACCGAATTGCCGAGCCATGGTATGTTGCTTCGGCCTTAATAAAACAATTTGAACTTATATTTTATTCAAGCGGCGCTGTCACCGGAGCGGAAGAGGAGTCCGAATCCGAAGCCCTGGCCTCTGAGCTTCGACAATGGAAGAAGTCTTTACCACCAGACTTCAAGCTTGACGACACGGACCCAAAAGACTCAAGATACCGCACGATCTTCCATCTCTATTTGAATTACTACTATGCGTGGATAACCATGGGAAAAGTCGCCCTCGTAACTGTCGCCCGAACGAGGCTTCGCTGTCATATGTTTCCTGAGTCGCGCCCTCCTGATCCAAGCGATGCTACGTTGAGGCAATCTCGATATTGTGCAAAAGCAGGCAGAAAACTTCTCCTACTATTCGAGGATCTAACGAAAACACGCAACATCACTCGTTTCTCCTTCACTGATTTCCAGGGATGCAGTATTGCGACGATCGTGGCACTAGTGGCTGGGATTACGGAACGCGATTCAGGATACAATGCTCGAGTGAAGTTTGGCTTAGATTGCCTTCGGAGAATGGCAACTGGGAACATGACAGCCAAATTGGGCGTGAACTTTGTGGAGGCTGTACAGTCGATAACAAACGAGGCCGCGGAGAAGCTCCATCAGGCGTCCTCTGCGGTCAACGAAACACAGAATGTACAAGCTTCGGCGTCCATATCTGATTACAACCAATGGGCTGAATGGCTTGCCAGACTGGAACATCCTCGAGCACCAGAGCAAAGAACAATCCATGAGGTAGAGTCTTCTGTGCCGTTCTCACATCCTGTACTGCACTCACAGTCAAACGAGAATACGTCCGACTGGAAGACTGCTGGTGAACAGTATACCTCTGAAAGCCCAAACCCGCAAAACCTAGCATATGACTCAACGATGCTGCGTGAGTTCCAGCCTATAGAGCATGACCCTCTTTCGGGACTCCAGAGTGATGATCCAACGTTTCTCATGGGCTTGACTGGGATCGACGTCCTAGACTTTTCTGGGTTTACATAAATATCCAGGGACAATGATGAGGAATCATACAAACCCATATTTGATTCGTAGGTGTTTAATTCTGTCTTAACACTCACTCACAACACCAACCGCCATGCAATGCAATTCAGTGTGCAACAACATAATCATTGTACTCTCACTGGAATATGACCATCCACTAGCAACGCATCCCACCTACTTTTATAGACACGACCATCCTTCATCACACCAAGCACATGTGCATCAGGCTTATCAAAAACGGTGACATCCTCAAGCGGATTCTTATTTAGAATCACGACATCAGCATGGAAACCCTCCTTGATTTGACCTAGCTCATCCGCATATCCCATCATCTTCGCCGGATTCACAGTAGCACTACGCAAGATCTCCAGAGCCGACAAAACTTGCGATCGCAGTGCAAATTCATGGGTCTGCGCAGAGCCCAGTGGACCCAGTAAATCAGAGCCATAACACATAATCACACCAGCCTCCGAGGCAACCCTCAAAGCCTCAAGACCGGACTTCAACACGATCGAGTTCTTGGTCCGAGATTCAATGGGCAGATAATTTTTCCACCGCTCGGAAGCCATTTGAGCATACGTGATAAGCGTAGGGGTCAAGTAGACCCCCTTCTCAGCCATCAACTTAGCAGTGGATGGATCGATGAAGTTCCCGTGCTCAATACCACGGACACCATTATCGATACAATGCCGGATAGCCTTGACTGTGTATGCATGAGCCGTGACAAAAGTCCCAGCATTATCGGCACATTCCACCATGGTCTGAATCTCCGCCGCCGTAAACTGCAGATGCTCCAGCTTATCCGTTGGCGAAGCCACACCACCAGAGCCCATGATCTTAATAAAGTCTGCACCGCAACGAATCTCCTCCCGGACAGCAGCCATGCACTCCGGCATGCCGTTGCACATACGACCCAAGTTATTATTGCTATGGGTACCGCCACAGCATTCCGTAGCCTCATGCGGGCCGCGCAGATCAGCATGACCACCAAATTGCGAAAGGGCATGTCCTGAAATGAAGATGCGGGGTCCGGGGAAGACACCGTCTTCGATAGCCTCTTTCAGAGCAAGCTGGGCACCGCCACAGTCGCGGATGCTGGTGAAGCCACGATGCAGCATCTGCGAGGCTGTGTAAGGTTGGCGCAAGAGTTGGACGTCATTTGGATTTCCGAAGGCTTTGGATAAGTCGCTGAAACCTGGGACTGCGCATAGATGTACGTGGGCATCGAATAGACCGGGGCAGAGGTATTTGCCTTGGCAGTCTACTGTTTTGAGGTTGGTTTTTGAGGCTGGGATGGATGGTTCTGAGCCGACGTAGGTAATTTTGCCTTCGGTAGTTATGAGGGTTGTGTTTTCTTTGATTGTGCCTGATTCGATATCAACGATGTTGGCGTTGATGAATTTATATCCCTGCGGTGCTGCACGGGTCCATGGCTTGATGTCTGAGCCGGGAAGGGTGGCTTGTGACATGATGGGATTGTGGAATATAGTACGGAAGTATTCTGGATAAGCTGAATATATAGGATTTAATGGATTACAATGGAGTTTAAATACTCTCAATCTAAAAGAGAGAGAAGTCAAGTTGCGGGGGAGTATCTCACATTCGGGTGAATTCGACAGATTCCCGATGCCATCGGACCGATGTACCTTCTCCGCATATCCTCCAACTTAAAAGATAAGTCTCCATTTATAGAAGGGGAGAAATCCAGGGCATATCTTGGATATTTGATCCTCGTCTTTGACTGTTTTGTTGAATCTGAGCTTGTCCAAATCCACATATCTCAATATTGGTGTATCAAGGGGGCACCACTTCACTTCCACCCGTGATGGACAACTTGGAGAAACGTGCTACGAGCAGCGATAATGCCGATCCAGCAAGTGGTGAAATGTTTGAACTTCGTGGAAGTTATACCAAAGAGGAAGGGAAAGCTGTCCTACGCAAAATTGACTTGGTCATTTTACCTTTTGTACGGGATTCAAGCTGTCGTCTTGGTTCTTTTTTCAGGCTAATGATGCATACTTTTAGATGTGCTTCGTGTTTTTTCTACAATACCTTGACAAGCAGAGTCTCAGCTATGCTGGTGTCTTTGGTCTCATTGAAGACCTCAACATGACCAGCTCGCAATATTCATGGTCGAGTTCAATCTTCTATGCTGGCCAACTGGTCGCCGAGTATCCATTTATATACCTCATGAGCAGGCTCCCCTTGACCAAATTTGTCGGCGCGACTGTGTAGGTTTGCTTTCGCGGTGTTATGTACTATATCTGTTCCCATCATGTGCTAACCACCAATTCAGAATCATCTGGGGTATTGTATGCATGTGTCTCGCAGCGCCAAATGACTTCGCCGGATTTGCCACTGTGCGCTTCCTTCTCGGCTTCAGCGAAGGCGCCGTCTCGCCTGCCTTCGTGACAATCACCAGTATCTGGTACCGAAAGGAAGAACACAATGTCCGCACAGCATTGTGGATTTCCATGAATGGTCTAGCCCAGGTTCTAGGCTGCTTCCTGATGTATGGCATTGGCAAAAACCCCTCACTTCCAATCGCTCCCTGGCGCGTGCTATTTATCATCTGCGGCGCTATAACTTCTGCTGCAAGCGTGGCGTTCTTTTTCCTTATGCCAAACGGGCCCAGAGATGCATGGTTCTTGAATGCTCGCGAGAGGGAAGTCCTATCTTTACGCATGGCACAGGACCGGGATGGTGGTGACAAGTCCTCTTTTTCGGTTGCTCAACTCAAAGAGGCAATGATGGATCCCAAGGCGTGGGTTGTCTTTTGGTTTGGTGTTTTGGTATGCATGCAATCACCGGTTTTGACTTTTGCATCTCTTGTGATCAAGTCGATCGGTTATACTAATCTCGAGACTATGCTATATACGGCTCCATCGGGAGCTGTACAAATTGCTTTGTTGTGGATCGGAGTTGGTCTAGTGTTGATCTTCCCTAATCAGCGAATGCTAGTCATTCTTGTTCTTATTATCCCGCCTCTGATTGGGACTGTGTTCCTGATGAAGTTAGATGTGACTGCTCAATGGGGTTTAATTGTTGCCTCGTGGCTGGTATGTAGTATTTCTATTGACCAGACCAGGTTTCTGCTGTTAACCCTCTTTTCTTTTGCAGTCTTCATGCATTACCGCCTCTATGACAATACTTCTTTCACTTGCGGCATCGAATTTCAAGGGAAATACCAAGCGTGCTGTTGTGAACGGCATGTTTTTCATTGGTTACTGTGCTGCCTGCATTGCCTCGCCTCAACTATGGACTCACAGCCCTCGTTATACGGAGGGTGTGATAACATCCATTGTGACATGGTGTCTGCTTTTTGTGGTGGTGATTTTATTCCGCTTCTTGTGTAAGTGGGATAATCAGCAGCGTGATGAACAGGCTGCCAGTTCTAGTGTTGTTAGTGTGGATCAAGAGGTCAAACTGGACGAGAATGGGTTGCCACAGACAGACCTCACCGATAAACAAGACCGACAATTCCGATATGTGTGGTAATTAATTGCTTATATTCGTCTTGGAAAGTATTTCTTGGAGGTTAACTAATATATGCCAAATATACCCGATTGCTGAAGACCTGCCTCCTCAAGTACAGAGGCTACATAACGGCATTATTGTTGTTCAGAATAAATAGTTGTTCAATATGCGTACACTATGTTAATATAAGAGGACAATGCCAAATTACAACTGCCCCTTGATGATATCGGCCGCACGCTCAGCAACCGCATACACGGTGCTCTGAAGGTGACCGCAGACCTGGAAAGGCATGACGGAAGCATCCACGACACGAACGTTCGAGGTTCCGTAAACCTTCAGCGATGTATCGACAACACCACCAAGTTCCTTGGGCAGCATGCCAGCTGTGGTAATCGGGTGGAAGTTTGATCGGTCTAGGGAAACGAAATGTTAGCAATGGAATTCCCACCAAACTTCTCTCAGCAAGTCGAATGATAACACGTACATTTGCTGTAGATAAAAGTAGACCAGGCCTTATCATCGGCACCAGCAGCAACCGTAGAAAGACCGGGGGTGGTCTCAGCACCAGCCATATCAGCAAATGGCTCAGTCTTGAAGATATCACGGATAAACCGTGCTGCCTGTGCCTGAGCGTGAAGATCAAAGTCCAGCATGAAGTACTTGGGGTCAATGATAGCCGGTGCTGTGGGGTCTGCGGAAGAAAGGTGAACGCTGCCGCGAGAGAAGGGAACAGAGCCCCAGTATTCGCTGCTGTATGCGGGTCCAGAGGCCGATAGGAGGATCTCCGCAACAGGAATTTCATCCTTGAAGATCAGATTCCACTGGATCTTGAAGAAACGGTAGATGTCGCGGGCGTTGGTGATGTTGCCGTTGGCGGATGCAACCTGGGCTGCATAAGCGGGAAGCTTGCGAAGAAGTTCGGCTCCCAGTGCGGTGGAGTTGGGGAAGAGCTGGTCAGCTGAGGGATAGGCGACGTAGGTAGCACTCTTGTCGCTACCGTAGGTCTTCTTTGACTCGAACTTGAGGCCGTTGTTCATTTGGTCCTGCAAGTTTTCGCCGACAGTTGGCAGGTTAATCTTGGTGGCGATTCCGTGCTTGGAAAGAATGCTAGAGGGGAGGAGTTTGGGTTAGCTTCCGTCAAATGTTGAACGGGGGCGGTGTTATGCTTACTGTGGGTTTCCGACTCCAGAAAGCTCGAGCAGAACGGGAGACTTCAATGCGCCAGCAGCGAGAATTACTTCACGGGCAGCCTTCACCACGGTCTTTTTGCCGTTGGAAAGAGTGACTTCGACACCATTTGCGATGGCCTCGTCTCCATCCTTCCAGGTAATCTTGTTGGCGTGTGTGTTGAGCCAGACATGGAGGTTGGTTCTGTTCTGGTAAGGATAATAGTAGGCACGAGCAGCATCCTCACGGACGTTGAGATCAGCATCAACCGTCTTGGGATACAGACTGTATCCAACCATGTCTCCGCTATTGGCGTCCCGGTTGTACGGAACAGGGACATCGAGGTTCTGGTAGGTAGCGTTCAACTTCTGAGCAAGACCGTCGTTCAACTGTGTTGAAGTCCAGCCAACCTTCACGGGCCCAGTAAAACCGTGGTAGGCCGGGTCAAAGGCAACACCCGATCCCTCCAAGGATGGGTAATTTGCCGGGTCTTGAAATTTCTCGCTCTTTTTGAAGTAGGGGAGGAGGGTCTTCCAGTTCCAGCCCTTGTTGCCGATGGTCTCCCATGCGTCGATCTGGGCTGCCTGGGCACGGAGGTAGGCCATTCCGTTGATGGTCGATGTTCCTCCAAGTGCCTTTCCGGCACGCAGGACTTGTGAGGATCCACCGGCATATTCTTGGGCAGTGGTTTCGTAGGCCCAGTCAATGTCTGTACCGAACGCTTTACCGTATCCGAGGGTGTCGGTCACGTTTGGGTTGTTATATACGGAGCCACCAGCTTCGATGACGAGGACCGTGGTGTTCTTCTGCTCGGACAATCGGTTTGCAACAACGAGGCCACTGGTACCACCTCCAACGACGATGTAATCGTAAGTTGAGTTCGACTTGTGTGGGGCATGGGGAACAGCAACTGCTAGTGGAAGCAGGGCAAGGCCGAAGAGGCTACGCATGATTGCTATAATTCCGGTTCTAAGGGAGAGTGTTCAACAAGGAATATAACAGAACTTGTTTCCTATTGATTTCCTCGAGGCTACACGAAAGATTTATACTTTTAGGTCCCAGTATGATTATAAGCATGGCGATCCACCTCTTGATTCAGCAAGAGGACGGAGCAATTTGTCACATCAGACTAATTCCTCAAGACGCGATTTACGGTATCTGTTGCTCCGTACTCCGTATGTGGCAAATGGAAGAACAGAAGAACCCACTAGTTATCCACCTCTATCTACCTCGATCTACCACTACATACTTCGTAGGTATTCTTTTTTTTTCTTTTTTTTTTTTTTTTTCTGCAAATCAGATACATAGCCAATGGCCAAGCCTAAGCCCAAGTTGCAGCCGAAATTAGAAGTAGATCCTTCTGAAGTTACAATTGTGGATATAAAGGACAATCCTGACACCTTAAATCTCCGTTATTTCCCCGTTATAGCACCGGTAAGCCAGTTTAAAGTTCTTGTAGTGTCTCTCGATATATAAGCCCCCTGCTTGTTGATTCCATAATCTCCTTCCATCTTCCACTAAGTGGATCGATGGAAGTCTTACTCATCTTTAGTCAGGAAACAAAAAAGGTAATAAATGGATCAAAGGATTTACCTACAACATACTCCGTACCGAGGTATATGTTATAGTAACGGCATGCCGATCTTATTCGTTTCGGAATTGAGACCGAATCTCCACAAAAATAACCGGACCGGTGTTGTGTTTCACTCGTTTTTAGTGTAATAAGCTGTTTTAGTGAATAGTCGGTTATATTATGTCTTGAGGAGCTATATAATCCATGGGCTGTGCAATCCGTGGGCTATGCATATCTAGGTAACCATCGTGACTACTTTTCTGATTGGTTTTCTTTTTTGGGGAATCTGATAAACAGAAGAGCACCTGACGAACTAAGTTTTTTCTTCTAGGTCTTAGTTAGTTAGTTAGACCCTTAACTATGTTAGTTAGGAGTAGTGTCACTGTGGATACAATATACTACCCAATACGGAGAATTCTCGACCCTAATCATAGAGTACTCTGCTAAAGTACAATCGCGTGATTCAATTACAGTCTATTTTTTTTTTGTCAGAAAATGATCACCGATAACTGCTTTGAAATAAAATCGCCTCCAAAAACATACTATGTCTATGTTGTATGTTGTATATCCAACACGCCGGGCTAGTACGTGAAACATTTGGACCCCCGGATTAAGGATAGCACATACGAAGTTAGAGTCCATTTTTAGCATTCATTTAGCTGCACATAGTCCATTTCTTGTTCTGCAGGCATCGGTGATTCTAAGGAGCGTCCACCGGGAATCTATGGGAACGCAGTGAAGATCTCCCCAAATTCAACATGATCTTCAAGATCTTCGATTAAAACAAGTTCATACAGGGCTTTAATTACACTTGCAGTCTTGATGTCTTGATCCCTTTAAAGTATCTATCCATATTACTTGTACGTTGTGCCACAATACAGGAAACTTCAGCGATTATATTGATTCGTGGCGTTTTTAGGAACATTCTGAAACAGATTATCCAGTCTATCAGCATCCGTTCCCTAAAAGGTTAACACCCCGTGAATTCAAAGTATCCACGGCATCCTCATCGCCCAATCCATCAAGATCCTTGCGCAGCCAAAACGACCGGAACCCCTCCACCAATCTCTGGGTAAAAGGCGCCAACTCGTCAGCATCCATAGGGGCAAAAGAAAGCCGAATATACCGATAAGCCTTCTGGGCAGACATAGGTGTCGCAGTGAACATCGATCCAGGACAGACAAGACAAAGATGAGGCTTCTTGGCCAAATGAATCCAAAGCGCCTGTGCGAGTCGCTCGGGAGGATATTTTGAGTGCAAGGGATGGGTATCAACCCGAGTCTCAACCCACACGAACATACCGCCCATTGGCCAGATAAACTCATACATCTGCATTCGATCAACGACCTCCCATGCATCGATGTGATCTTCACTCGATCCATGGAAGAGATACTTGTTCTCTTCTAGAATCGTGCACATGGCCTGCATGCGCGTTTCATACCCGGCGCGTAGCCCTTCCAGCCACCGTACCCAACCATCCATGTGCCAGCCCGAAGCGATGTGTTTGGATGATTTCCCGGATTTATCATCCGGTTGACCAACGATCATTTCCGCTATTAGTGATTGAACAAATCCGGATGGTTGTTGAGTTGACACTTCTGTTATGCGAGTGAGACGTTCGATGATAGCCGGCTGTGCTGTGATCCAGCCTAGACGACTACCCGGTGCAATGGTCTTGGAGAATGTGTCGAGTCGCACTACCCGACCCTCTATGTCGATGGATAGATATGAGGGGACGAGTGAGTCCAGATAGGCATAGCCTGAGGACTTGCCCTCGGCGTTGTAGTTCTTGGTGTATAGATTTGGTTCTGATGATGAGCCCCGGTAATGCACCGTCTTTTCGTACGCGGATGGGAACTGCAAGTTCCAGTATGGTTCGTCCTCGATGATTATCACATCGTATTTCTGGCAGAGGGCGTAAATCTCCTTTCGGCGTTCGACAGAGAGCGTTCCACCAGTGGGATTTTGACCAGTTCTCATCATCCGGTCAGCACACATTCACAATATTTTTTTCTTGCAAAGGATATATACTCACGACACAGTATACATCAAATGAGGCCGTCTGCCACGCCGGAAATCCCAATTCTCCAACACGTCCTGTAATCCTCCTTTCCCACTAGCAAGCATACCCTGACCATCCATCACGACACTCACGACATTCAGCCCACGAGGCGACACGGTCTGGATAGCATTCATATAAGCAAACTCCTCACACAAGACACCCTCCCGCTGCTGGATCCAATCCCGGTCGGGATTCCACGTATTTGTAAATGCTTCAATAGCCTTAGCAAAACCATCGGTCGATCCACAGGTCAACAACACCTCAGGTCCACCCACGTAGGGTACATTTGGATGTAGATGGTCTCTTGTGAACGAGCGCAAAAAGGTAGTTAAAGGAGGGTATCCTTGGGCGGTGCCATATTGGAGGGCAGTTGTTAAGTCGATTTTGCGAGTGAGATCTGATGTGGGACTCTCCTTGGGGACTGTTACTCGGACGAAGGGTACGTCTTTCTTATCTTTGGATTCAAAGCGTTGGGGTAGAGCGGCTTTTGCTTCGAGTGTATCGTAGGGGAAATAGGAGGCATGTGGCAAACCTATAGTCGAATTATCGAATTAGTTATATATTATACTCTGTAGAAGTAAATGGGTTTTCTTTTTATTACCTCCAGCGAGATTAGCAATTCCAGGTGTCTGAAAGTATTTATATAACCCCTTGACACTGCTGGGTTTCTTGTTCTTCGTCGCATAAGACAAGTGATGTGACAGGTCTAATGGTGGAGCTGTCATGATTGCCGATCTAACGGTTTTGCATCAGTCAGATATTAAGGTATGAAAAAAAGCAATAACATATAACTATATAACATATATGTTATATGTATTGAATGAGATAAAAGAAGTACGCTCTCTGAATTACTGAATACAAAATTATTTTAGTCGGAATCCCCCGGTTAACCCCCCGCTGTGCTTGATAATCAGGGACTCCAATACTCTCAGTCTCCACCAGATCTAACTTCTTTTTGATATGAAACTGATTTGGTTGGCTATAAATTGGTAGATATCTTATCTGACTCTGACAGAAGTGGGACTGACTATGATTACCACGCAATAGTGATTGGATTCCTCTGGGGTGATTGGTTTCTCATATGACGAGCTCGGAGTATAGAAGTTGAACTGCACTTTAGGCCATTCTACCTCAATGGGTCTGTGGTCATGGGGCTACTTCGAGGTTGGCTTTGTCCTAATACTCCAGCATCTAACTATGTATACAACATAGGAAATTATTAGGGCTGTCTCTTTTGAATATATTCACCACTTTGTTGGTGTTAAAGCTAGAAGCATGGGAAGAACGACAGAATATAGAATATAGAATATAGAATATAGAATATAGAATATAGAATATAGAATATAGAATATAGAATATAGAATATAGAATATAGAATATAGAATATAGAATATAGGATATAGGATATAGGATATAGACGAAACGGGTGTAAATGTGATTGGTTGCCATCACTATGAAAACATTTACTTGGACTGGGCGCGTGTTTATATGGACGCGACTAGATGTGTTCATATCCGGTGAATTTCTGAAAAGTAAGATAAAGTGCTGGACTTCTGAAGAAGTCATTATGTTCTCGTCAATAGTGTGCACTAGCCCTATGCCATCGGAACTGATTCTATACAAAACCATCATTTGAAACGCGTTCTGGACATTGTAATAGACAAAATCCACAGTTGTCGCGTAAAGCATATTTCCGGATATCCGAATAGTCGGATATAAAATCTGAGATATCGGGCGCCATTGAATGAGTGACTTCCCGTTTCCCCCACATTCATATATCATATATCATAAGCACCAACTAGAATAGCACTCCTCGTTTTAATGAAAATCTTAAGATTTGATCTTGCTAATATGATTGAAGTCAACTTCTAAGCCGAACTTCTTTCGCGGTTCGCGGTGGATCAAAATTCACCATGTGGCCGGCCCACAAAAGGTTGTCAGCGATGAATTTTAACAGGACAAGCCATATTCAGCGGCAACACAATTTCCATCTCTCCTGCAAGACCCAGTTCTTTTTTCTAACGCTATAGGGCTGGTAGCCACCCGGAAAAAGAAATAAACGGGAGATGGATCCAAGAAGAACTACCGACTCAAATCTTCCGCTTCATACCCTTCACTCGTTTCCCCACCCCCTGGAGAGGTTGGATATATGATTTTGTTTAATCATGGGTGACAATGACATGAATCTAAAGCCGGTCGAGTCGGCGCGGTCACTCGCTTCGACTTTCTCGCCGATCCACGAGGTCTTTTTCGTTGCCATTGTTTGCATGGGTCAATTTATGACACAAACCAATGTCGGAGTATGTCTTTCGCCGCTTGATATTGTCGGCGATAGCTTTGGTATCGATGACCCCGGCGTTTTGAGCTGGTTCATGGCAGGGTACTCCTTGACTGTTGGCACATTCATCTTGGTGTCTGGCCGGTGCGGCGATCTATTCGGTTATCGTCGAATGTTCATCATCGGATTCTGCTGGATTGCGCTCTGGTCTCTTGTTGCAGGTCTCAGTGTCTATTCAAACTATATCCTCTTCATCTTTGCACGTGTTTTCCAAGGCATCGGTGGCGCATTGCTGATGCCCAACGCATTGGCTCTTCTTGGAGCCACTTACCAACAAGGAAAGAGAAAGAATATGATTTTTGCCATCTTCGGTGCCGCTGCCCCGAACAGTGCCCTTTTGGGATCTGTCTTCGGTGCGATCTTCTCTCAGTTGGCTTGGTGGCCCTGGACATATTGGACCCAGGCTATCGTTGCTCTCGGTTGCGCTGGATTAGGCTTGGCCGTTATCCCGTCCATTCACCACGAGACTGCCTTTGATAGCTCCTTCTTGGGCCTGCTAAAAGCCCTCGATGCGCTCGGCGGAGCTTGCGGTATCGGCGGCCTAGTGCTCGTGAATATTGCATGGAACCAGGCGCCTATCGTGGGATGGAGCGAACCCTACGTCTATGTTCTTCTGATCATTGGAATCTTGTTGATCGCCGCGTTCTTCTATGTCGAATTTCGGGTGGCTGAACACCCCCTCATTCCGTTCCATGCATTCAGTCGCGATGTCTCGTTTGTCCTTGGTTGTGTTGCCTGCGGTTGGGGCTCATTCGGAATCTGGATCTACTACTTCTGGCGATTCGAAGAGAAGTTCCGTCAGGTGACTCCTCTCCTAGCATCTGCGCAGTTTGTCCCCGTGGGCCCGATGGGTATCATCGCATGTGTTGTCACCGGGTGGCTGATGGGCCGCATGCGCCCCGGGCTGATCATGCTGTTGTCGATGACTGCCTTCACGTTAGGCAATGTTTTGATTGCCATTGCTCCAGTGCACCAGACCTATTGGGCCCTGACATTCGTTTGCTTGTTAGTTATCCCTTGGGGTATGGATATGTCGTTCCCTGCAGCGACTCTGATGTTGTCGAATGCGGTCGAGCGCAAGCATCAGGGTGTCGCTGCATCACTGGTGACTACTATCGTCAACTACAGCATCTCGCTGAGTTTGGGACTCGCCGGTACTGTGGAAGTTCATGTAGACAATGGAGGTCACACTCCCGATGATGTTCTGAAAGGATATAGGGGTGCCTTATATTTGGCTGTTGGTCTTGGTGGGTTAGGGATGTTCCTCAGTGCGATCTACGCATTTAAGGATTATCGAGATGAGAGACAATCAGTGAAAGCTAATAAGGAGGAAGCTTAGGAATAAGTTAGTGTCTAATTGTACATAATATTTGATTTTATAAAATCAACAAACTGGTCAATCAAGCTCGGTAATCTATCACCCTATACGTGAATTCTCTAGGATTGGTTCCTTCTCTGGCATTTGATACATCGACCTTCCAATTCTTTTCCCAACTACACTTTGAACCTCAGCAAAGACCACTTTCATTGCTCAACTCACCGTCGACGAGCAGTTGAAAAGGAAAAACTTGTGACGTTCTTGCATTTTTGGGGCATGCCACGGTTGGGCGGAACAAACACCTGTGTATGGAATTCCTAGTTCCGAACTCTATGTGCTTCTTGGGTATCCTTCTCGATACATAGTCGAAGACAATACACAACTCAGTCAATCCCTTGTTCAAACAAATATTCATACCAGATAGACGCGAAGTGTCGGATTATTAAATGGGACCTGCGTCAAGATAGACCTAATCCGGAAAATAAGAGGCCTCATTGTCGATATCGTGGAGTCCACTGACTCCATAACTCGATGCCGCACATAAAGTATTCCAGACCCTTGATGTACATCTCGAGTTCATATGACAAGCTTTCCATGCGGTTGTGTCGAGTTTCATCAGTGGATTGCTTGAGAGCGAGCTCCAATTCCCGACAGTAGCTATACATCAAGCGCTTACAGGCTGTATATGGTAGTCCTGTCTCGTTGGCGAGAATGTAGATGGCGGAGAATGGCCAGGTCCCATCGGTTGGGTTCGCCTGGTATACTTTCCATTCTCGCTCCCAGCTATAGATATCATTCATAACACTGACATGCCGAAATGCGGTGCTTTCCAAGGCGGCGGTCTTTTCGAGTTCGGAATTGGTGAGATAGAGCTTGGCACCGAACCTAATGAGAGCTGTGTAGAATCTAAATGGCTGTCAGGTCTCAACAAAAATATCCAAAGATAAACAACAACCACAATACATACGGTCTGCCCACATCTATCTCCCTAAATTTCAGGTATGATCCGAGAGTCTTTATCGTAGTCCTCTCTTCAGATGTCTGAGCCTGCAGCAGTTGACAAAATCCCTGGGCAACATCGCTTGCTAGAACCTCATCCATACTTCGCATGGCCATGATAGTATCATGAAGCATCCACTCAAGGCAGATACTTCTGTTGGGGCTGGATGTTCCAAGGGCAATTGTCATGACCCTGTTCCGATACGACAGCATTTGTGTAAAACTCATTCTTTCAAGTTGATCTATCTCAAAGGTCAATAGATGTCCAAACCCAACCTTCAGCCACAAGAACTCACCATCAATGAGGAAAGACAAGTAAAGCATCTTGCATGTCATGTCAATGCGATCATCTAGCGTCAATGGGAGAAAGTGACTAAAGGCGCGGGAGAACCCGATACAAAGGAACCCCTTTTTCTCCTTCTGGCTGGTGAAATTCCAATTGTTGCTGAAATAGGGCTCAACCTGAGCTTGAATTTGTTCCCATCCTAGTGGATGAGTTTGAGATTCTAGTTGACGTAGTGGAATCTCACAAGGGACATTTCGTGGTGTTGAGTACTGCCTGGCTGATTTGTTTACTGAATAGATATGGGATGAAAAGATCGGCCGATTGACAGCCAATTCCACTGTAGATCTGCTTTCATCTGCCAATCCCTTCCAGATGCATACCCTTTGAAATCTATGCATTGCAACTTATGTTGGGGGTTCATTTGAGATTTTGGTTGGCAATTGCCAGTCTCCACCACACGATGCCAAGTTGCTTATAATTACGCACGGACCATCGAAACGTGATGGGTCCATGTACGACGTGACGTCCACGTGTGACAGAACACACTTTGTTTTACGCTTAATCTCTAATTCTACTCCCAAGTTTGCTACAATATACATATATGTACGCACAATACCCAATCAACATTGTCTCCCCATTATTATCTCATCTTGAAGGCTGGACTCAATATTAGAAATCAGTACTACCCCGCTAATCCAATCATCGGCGTTTACGAGAAGAAAAGGCCAAAGACCTTTATACTGACACATGGTTCCAGCTTCGGCTTCTATTAGCCATAAAAGCTCTCTGCAGGTAGCCCTACTACGCCTCCGTGCAATCAAAGCATACAGTGGAAGTATCCCCGGCAGTTCTTTGAGTCTGTCAACAATTGCTACCACAATGAGCACACCGTCAAAGAACCGACAGCCTGCCCCATGGCGCGATATCCTTAATTCTCATCTCGAACAAACACCTGGATATGAATTCACAATTGCAACAATTGGCTACAATGCTCAACATCATCCTGTACCTCGCCTGCGGACTTGCGGCTGTCGTGGTTTCTTCCCAGAACTCGAGCTCCACCCTAAGGGCCAGGAAGCTATGGACCAGCAGGTGGAAGATGGTGGCAATCCACCCATGTTCGAAAGTGACATGCTGTCATTTACCACTGATGCTCGAATGGACAAGCTTCCTCAACTGGAGTCCTCGGGTCATGCGATTGAAGCGGTGTTCTGGCTAAAGGATCTTATGACTCAGTGGCGCATCAAGGGGACGGCATATGCAATTGGCAATCCAAGTGGAGAGGATGCAGAGGAAGAGAAGATATCTCGAAATGAGATAAGACAAGCATTGAGGGTCAAGGGGGATAATGACAGCGACATTGCAAAGTGGACATGGGAAAAGGCTGTCACAAAATACTTTGCAAACCACTCCCCTATCGCAAGAGGTATGTTGTCTCATTCCTGTACTCCCTTGATCGAGATTTAAAAGCCCTGTTTGCCTGACTCGGAATCTAGGTTCTTTCCGAAACCCTCACCCTGGACAACCTAGGTCCTCAACTCCCAGCCAACCAGATCTCAAACTAGGTCAAGAGGTTCTGGACCTCCATGACCCCGTTGCACGGGGAAATTTCCGAGTTGTCGTTATTCGACCGGAGGAGGTTGAGCGTCTAGATCTTACTGATCAAGAGGATGCCAAAAGATGGAACTGGACGTTGATTGACGGAAACGATGGTTCTCGATGGGATGAGGTCGAATTGTGGCCGTGATTACAATACTATAAAGAAATTTACTTTCTACATGTTCAGATGAACTTGTATGATGTTTTCATCTTAAAGTATAAGGCCTATGTATCTATACACATTAATGGAATATCTTGCAAGCCTCCAAGTCAAGCAAGGTCTTGGTAGTTTCCGTAGGTGTTTGTTGGAAGATGCACCGAGTGACTTGATTTGCGGTTTGCTTGATTTGCAGTCGCGTCGTTTTTGTCGTGTCGTTTTTGTCTTACGGTTGTCGCATGCTTAAAAGAATTTTTGCTCTTACCAACCTGCAACTCGGTCACGACGACTAATCCACGTCCCACACACGACAATTACCTTTCATTTCTCACTCACTTTCATCTCATTAGTGAAGGTTCGTCCCCTTGGATCTTGTTCTCTTACCCGCAGTACCCCAGCACATACCTGAGCAGAGTCCGTCACCAAAATGCCTATCAATAACCCTGCCTGTGCTGACTGCAGAGCCAAGAAGAAGCGGTGCATCCACCGTGACCAACCTGTGGAGGTCACCGGGACTCAAGCTGTCCCATCCACCATGTCTTCCTCCTCCGCTCCCCCTCCCCCTCCCCCTCCCCCTCCCCCTCCTGTCCCGACTCCCGCGGCGACTCCCGCCCCTGTCGCTCCCCCTGGTGCAGCCACCAGAAGCCGCCGCAAGGCTGCCGAGGCCGCTGAGGCCAAGGCCAAGGTACGTAACATAGACCTTCTGACTTCTCTTTGGTGTTGTCACCCAGCTAACGCATGGATATAGGAGATGAGTTCCGCCCCAGGGGACTCCAGCGATGACCTTTCCTCCGCGCCCTCCGAGACCGAGGCCGAGGCCGAGAAGGAGCCGGTGGTGAACAAACCCACCAAGCGCACTCGCCGCGCCAAGGCCACCGCCGCCGAGTCCCAGACCGGTGCCCGTGGCCTCCCCTCCGATAACCTCGACGCCGCCTGCAGCATGTCCGTCCACGCCATGTTTGCAAGCCAGCTGGAGGAGAACCTCCAGGAACTGGAGAGGAAGATGGAGGCCTTCCACGAGGCACACCGCGATGGCCTCGTCGCTCCTCAGGCCTTGAACGACGCCCACCGTGAGGCCCAAGCCGCTGGCAACAAAGTCCAGCGCACTGTCAAGGGCTGGGTTCAGACGTGGGCCGTCTATGGCCGTTGAGATGTTTTTTTTTTTGTGGGGGGCTTTTACTGGTTTTGTTCTGGGAGGATTTTCTTCGGTCCCTTGATATGGGACGTGCGTGACCAGGTTGGGATAATTCACGTGGTTTCAAGCCACGTGAGCCTGGTCGGCACCATGGGTCTGTTTGTTTTGTTTCGTTTTTCGAGAACCGTTCCTGGTGTCCCCTGGACACCTACTTAATCCATGGATTTTTCGAAGTCGAGTCATCCCTTGTAAACATAAACCCCTATAATAAATAGTCTCCATACATATATGTAGTTGTAGGCCATAATGATTAGCATAGCCCAATGTTGAACGAGTTATTTGTATGTCACGTGTGAAGCCTAGAGCTAGTAACTTCAATATACAACATAGCCAGCCGTCTTTTACAAGAAAAAATTATTTTCAAAGTGGTTTGGGGGATCTGGGGGACCTGATATGAGAACGGGTACAGGGAAGTCCCTAGGACTGTACATAAGCGAAATGCAAAGGGGAAGTTTATATTACCAATGGCCAGCTCTCGATTTCGACCGATCAGCCAACCACCGTTGCCTATCAAACATGGTGGGACCCAGCCTCCAACCAGGGACACTCCCGGTTCTTCCGCGGGAGGGATCGTCCGGCTCCCCAATAGTGTGTGTCCTGGTGTACCAGTATTGGAGTATTTGAAGTATTTGACTTTCATAATACCAGTACATACCGAGGTATTCCCCGTGATCCCCCATGATCCCCGAGTCCCCGGTTTTTGGTCCCCGACCGTTACGTGTCAAACCTGTCTTAGGAAAGGTACCCGTCACGGGTGTTGATGTTTAGAAAATACAGGGTTCTTATTATCTTTTCTATTCGGCCAGGTCTAATCGAACAATCTCTAGGTTTCCAGGAATCTCTCTATATATTTCGGTTGCTCTGGGAGACTGGACTTTCCGAAGAATGGGTGACTTGAGTACAATATACAGTATTTGGATGATCAGGATCATATTCTCATAATGATCACCATGGACTTTTTTTTAGAGCCTATGTAAGACTTGTTACCATATCCAATAACTAGTGACATAGAGGAAGCTAAAGTACTAATGGAGCACGGAGTATGGAGTACGCCATAGACTCAGTTCCCTAGGGCAACACTACTCTTAGTCTGCATAAACTGACACTGACACATGCAGTAATCCACCTCACCGCTCGAGTGATAATGGGACAAGCGGTCCAATCATTAATGAAAGAAGAGAAGTTGCAGATGCAGTTAGCCCTAAGATGTGTAGGATGTGTGGCAGGATACGTAGGATTCCTATCAAATACACATCAGGGGGGTTATTTTTCCATACGACTTGGTTATATATGTCGTATTAAATGTACCTCTGTACAGTACTCCGTTGTACCCAAGGTATGACCCACTAAACAAAGTATTTACCATACCAATACCATATTCCTTGGATTTCTCGTCCCAAGGTTCTTTTATTTCTCTGTTCAACTTTCCCCTCCTCTCTGCTTCACCGTTACTTGCACCTTTTTAACTGCAGATCATATATCATTGAGGGGTCACTGATCTCTTCTCTTCGCGCTTTCTCTGTCACCTTTTGTCTCTCCATCTCCTTATACGATTCTGGTCGAACTCACGATTTTTTACGACGAAACGAACACCCAGAAGCACACCTACCCAGTTATAATAATTTGACCGCCCATTCGTTAATTTTGAGCCTCTGAAAAGTGTGGCAACGGGGGGGGATTCAATAATTTGTTATGGCCATGGCATCAATGGATGCTCTGGGGGCCTTCACCCACATGAAAGACAATATTCCTACATGGATCACTCGCGTTTCAGAGCTTGCGACACACACTCACAAGAAACACAATGAATACTCCGAAGCTTACAGACGCCACGCAAATGTCAAGTCCCGCCGACGCAAAAACAGCTCTGTTTGCTCCATCCATACCAATGACCTCGTTCCGATCGCAGAAAGAAAGGGTCCCAGCCCAGAACCTCCAGCCCTGGAGACACCACAGGATCCATCCGAGCAAATCCAACGTTCAGGTCGCAAGCGCACTACAGATGAGGCCCCATCACTCGAGTCCAATGAAGAATACAGCACGGTAGTAAGCACGCGGCACAATGTCATCATTGAGTATGATGGTCATACACAACAGACGCTCGAGACAATTGTACGCGATATCGGGGTGGCCAGGAACAACATTAGACGAGGACAGATGTCATTGATGCCGCGCACCGGACTACGCTCGGGCTTGTTAAGCAAAGGCATGATGAATATGCCGAGTGGACTGGGACAGGCGGGGCCACTCTCTTGTGTTCGCAGCACCCGGACCACATGTGGAGTTGTCGGTATCTCTGGGACCAGCGCACTTCGGAAAGACTCCCCTTTTGACTTCGCAGACAAGCAATTGGAACTTGCTCATGCGCTTTGCGAGACCGCAGCTTACCAAGTCCTCCGATCTGGCGACTGTGGCACAGAATTGGACGGCGTGGAGGAGAAATTCAAGATGCTACTCGAGGCAGCTATCAATGAGGTCGACCGTATTATGGCAGAAAAGAAACAACAAGAAGAACACGAGCAAAAACAACAAGAAGGGACTGCCGAAGAAGGGCCTCCCAAACCGCCCCCTACTCCATCCGCAGCCCGACTCGCCATGGTTGCTGCCATTGCTGCGAATAAGCCCTCAATGACCACGGCAGGCACCATTGAAGTTGATGATAACTCATCTCTTTCGGCTGAGTCGATTGACATCACTGCATTCCGATCCACCCGGATCCGAGTGTAAACACTGACCCAGCCAACCCTTGACCTCATATTAGCGATTTAGCGTGTGCTGAAACCCTTCCAGCAAAACCATTCCAGCCAGTTGATACCTTTGATCTATTGAGACCATTTCTTTCTCTTTGATTGGCCTTTTCTTTTTGCCTTTCTGCATCTTTGATTGCGATCTGATTTGTAGTTACGGGAGCGCGCATACCAATTACTCCATTCATTCTCCTTGCGATCCATATTCTACTGTTCTTTCTTACTGTCTTTGAACTTTTTTTTTTTTTTCAAATATTGTCCTTGTTTTGGGGTACATATGATATCTCCTGCCTGTCTCTTGCATCAGCTCATGACTCATTCCCAAGGGAGCACGGCGTTGGAACCGGCGTTTTTATTGTTATTTAAGTTTTTCTGCTTCTGTCCTTGCCCATGGAGTTTCCTGGTCCTCTCTGCGTTCATTGCGTCCATTCTCAGTACATATCTAAGGCCGGAATTTGAGTTCCTTTTTTTTTCTATTTTTTTTTCTATGGATATTCAGCTTTGTTGTCAGGATTGCATGCATATAAGGTCTACAACATACGATGAAGGATATCACAAAGAATTGTATAGAGTACGACTCCGTACACCGTACGTGGAAGGCGTGATGGTCCCAACATTCCAACAGATTTGAGTCAAGTTCCGCCAATAATGTGAAATGTACAAATGAATTTGGATCCTCATCATTATCATTGTCTTCCCTGTAATAATCCTGGATTCAGCTCGGCAACATCCCAATGCATGACCGTTACCGTCCCCTGTCTCGGTACGGGAAGACAACGGCATGCATGTCTTCTAAATGATTCGCCAAGCAAAGTCCCCCAGGATGGGCTCCGTTGTGGAGTCCCGGAGCCAGTGATACTTAACCTTCCTAATGAAGTAAACAGTCTGGTCATATACAAGTTAACGAGTTAGCTTGGAGACATAAGTGGGGGGAGGGTTAGGGGTAAACTTCATTCTTTGTACAATTACAACAATGTTGTAACTATAGTTATGTTGTCTACTCCATATAACAGATAACAGAGTATCACCCGTGTGCATTGTCTCTTAGATCTTCAATGTTCCCCACGACAGCCACGAGGGCTGGGGCGGCAATTTCCTTAATTTGTTTCACGTTCAAAGTACATCTTCAAAGGATTTGTACGTATGCATGCGTAGCACATGCTGCAAAGTACGAAGTAAAATGTACATCATGCGACCCATTAAGGGTGCCTACTTTGTACTTAGTACAGAAAAGCCTTATTTTTCTACCTACGAAGAACTCCGACTTGGCTTCCGGTGTATACGTGGACATGTTACTACTATACATGGTCTAGACACATTTTCTTTGGGTCGATTGATGTGGCAGCTGAAATAATAATAATATATATATATATATAATATATAGTGTATATAGTATTATATATATGTATACTAGTGGCTTCCACCTGGCAGCATGCAAGTGCAGGGATCTTGCTTCTCGAAGGTACAAAGTACGTAACTGAATCATCTGGGATACCATCTCTCTGTATTGGTATTATATTCCTTCTTTCTCCTTTATCTCCAATGTTCCCCTGATAGTCTCACCTTTAACACAGGATCTATATCAGATCTCAATTCAATCTAATAAAAACAATGGAATATATTAAGGAAGATACTTAGTATCAAAGCTGGGACTCTTAATTCTGATATTAATACATATTGTACAGTATAAGCATAGTAATTTAATATATATTCCGTACTGAACCCCGCCCGTCTCTATGCCGATCATTTCTCGCTGTCAACTTTACCTTCCCCTTTTAGGTAGCGCGGATCATTATTCCAGTTGTTGTTGTGTTGTCGTTTTTTTTTTTTTTTTTTTACGAGATAAAAGTACGATGTCAGAGAGGGGACAAATTTGAGTCCTTGTACATGACAGAATTGTTTTTTAAGGCAGTTTGACAGGGCCTTATCCCTGTACATGACAGAAATGTGTCCTCCCCCTTAATAGGAGATTCCATGATACATTTGCAGTCTACATATCAAGCATCAACAAAAACACAAGCACAAATTACAATTACAATTGCAATCCAGAATTTGTATTTTAAATTGATATTATCGACCCCACTCCCACTAGCCAGAATTGACAGGTGTCAAAGGACATAGCAAGCCAAGCAAGCCACCACGGTATCCTACCGTAATTAATCTTGGATAACAAGGATCTTCCCCGACGCTTGACGGCAGCGGCCCTTTCTCTGTTAGTGCTGAATCCACAACAAGGATGTGAACATGGTGCATAGGCTATAGTAACCTCCTTCCGTCCTTGGCAGGAAGGTCACAGGATTCTACTAGCTTGCTAGCAGGGAAGATTCTGCTAGTTTCTATTATTTCAATTATTTCAGGGGAGATGTTGGTACTTCTGGATGTGATATCTAAATTGCGGTAGAATCCAATCTTGCTTGTATGTTGTATACTCCATACTCCGTACGTGGTGTGATGATACACAGCATAAACTTTGTGCGGGTATTTGATTTTGATGGTCAAAAGGTAAAATCCACCAATCCACCTGGGCACTCAAAAGAAGCTTACTTGCAGGGGAATGGGGTGATTTGAGTGGATTAAATACAAGTACGGAGTACTCCGTAACTCACAGAAAACTAGCTGTATCAATCCATCTCAGTCTTTTAACCAAAGTACCTATATGTCACATGTTCACAGGTACTATTGTAAAGTACCAGGTATCATTGATTGTAACTAACTAGTTATAGCACAATAAAGTCCATGCCTCAGTAATAGAGAACCAGATTGCTAATTGAGTTGTATTTCTTAATCCAGTGACTAGATCGCTTATTTTGCAATACTCGAGAACTTATGTGCGGTATACAGAGTAGAATATTGAACAATTTATTAATATAGTTATATATACCCGGGAGAGAGAAACTCACTAACTATATATACTACATAGACTTCTTTACAAGGTCAGAAGATCGGACTGTGATATTCAAGTTCTGTAGCCTCCCAGTGAGTTGTAATATATATAACTAGGTAAGGATTAGATAGTACAGTAAGGACTCGTTCAATATATATACCATTGAGCCACTAGCCAACCATCGTCATAAGAGTTACTGACTTTCTGGGGTTTGATCTCCATCCACCTTGCAATAACAGTCAGTTACACTGTGCAAAATCTATTGCCTAACAAATAACGAAGAAAAAAACATTCATAGGTCAAAAAGATCAAAGATATTGCATTGACGGGGAATCGAACCCCGGCCACTACTTATCAACCACTTCAGATGAAATGATATGGTGGAAGAGTAGTATTCTACCACTGAACTACCAAAGCTCCTTATTGGTTTTATTGCCTTGTAATGTATTCTGACTTCCTAGAATCCAAACTATTTTCCGTTTATATAAGGTGCGGGTGAAATTCAAATTGCCCACTTTCAAAGTCCACCCTCCTCCATACCTAGTAGAGTACAGTGCCCTGTGCTAATCTGGGTTATATATTATTACATGGTATACCCTAGGACTATCCAGTTTCATACCTAGCTTCCTGCCTGCCTGTCTGCCTGTCTACCTATTTGCCCGCCCGTCTACCCGTCTTGACTTCATCTTTACCGATATCCTGCCTGCTCCGCTACCAATGACACCCCCTCTAGTAAGCCAGCTTTGCAAGAACCTGGATATCATACAAAAAGTCCGGGTAATTCGGAAAGCCACCGAATAACGAGACTCTACTTGTGTATGAACTCGTCATCGGAAGTGGGTGGATGTTTTATGTAGACAGATAAGCAGGTAGGGAGGTAGGCAGGCAGGCAGGTAGGCAGGAAACCAGGTAATAAGCTGGATAATCCCAGGGTATACCATATAATATTATAACCCAGATTAATACAGAGCACTATGTTGGATATTCAATTAGGTAGGGGGCAGATCCATTGACCGCTCTGAGAATGGGTGGGATTCACCCACCCATACGGATCTTTGTAGTATATATTCGTAGGACGCTGTAGAAGTTGGAGTCGGAAAATCTCCAAATGAACAACCATCTACTCCCCTCCCCATACAACCTGTCACGACCACCAACATGGCTGGAGCGTATATTATTACAACCACTCTGGGGTATCCTATTAGGAGGGCCCACCCATTCCGAACCACAGAAACCATCAACGCCAATTCCTCTTCAAAATAACTCAAATCTCCCTCCAGTCCGCATAATATGCATTTCAGACACGCACAATGCAACCCCTCCTCTGCCACCAGGAGACATATCCACGCCGGCGACTTAACAGCCCATGGCACCTTCGATGAAGTGCAAGCGCAGCTCCACTGGCTGTCTTCTCAGACCCACACCCATAAGATTGTCATCGCGGGTAACCATGACCTTATTCTGGATGAAACGAGTGAGATGAAGTTTCTTACGCGTGAGGGACTTGGTGCCGTGAAGCGGAAGGAATTGGACTAATATGTATAAGGAGACGCACAGATTTGCATTAGTGAGGGCAATGATGATAGTTGATTTATAGCCAGCTAACATTCGTCTGAAACCATCAATGTCTTCGCCCATGTACTTTAATTTGGCCCAGTCTCGAAAGCTCGTTTTGCCGGCAAGAGATCGCGTCGAACATTTCTTGAGTTCATCCTCGAAATCTTCACAGGCATTCGCACAACGGAGGAGGGGATATTCGAGACTAGCGAGTTCTGTATCGGTGTTCGCATTCAAGGTCTCTGCTAGAGCTCCAAGAACACCAGTCAGACCCTCAAGCTCCTCCGTTAGGTCGCGTACGCGTTTTGGATGAGATCGGTAGCTTTGAACTACATCGAAGAGGGCACTGCTGGATTGAAACCACTCAGTAGCGAACAAGATCTCGAGGCCTATGAGCGGTTTGGAGTGGAAGATCATGTCCATTCTTGAATCATCACATGGTATTCTTGGACGATAGCAGAGCAGACAAGCCGCTCTGCATTGTACCTCAGCTTCGCATCCTGGTCGGTGGGTATTTTATTTGATCTGACCATTTCCTTCCACAGCTCCATTGGTCGTAGTCCCATGCGAAGAGTTGCGACAGGCAGTTTGTGAGGCGGCTTGTATTTTCACGGCGGACCGTGAGCGAGAGAAGGAGAGAATGCGAGGAGACGAATTCATGCAAGCTCAATTCAGAAGGACTTTGCAGGTTCCGTGCTTTCTTACCACCGAAGGCTGATCATCGCGTTACCCACCCATCGTTTTGGAATAGAGCATCAACTCCATAGAGAAATAATACTCTTTGGCAGGTCACAGTGTATCGTAGTAATGGAGCAGGCTTGATCTTTCGAGCCAACTGTCAACGAATGCAGACTAGCTGGCTTGCTTGTGTATATCACCCCTGTGATACTGAATGCTCTCTATGATCACATCGCCGAAAATATCGATTTACGCATCGAAGAAACATATATTTTTCTCTGGGATGATCGGAATGTATCTCCAGGTCCCTGGAACTAACTTGATGGAGCGAGCTGCCCTGATGACGAAGTTTGGTGAGCCGGCCAGGTAACCCCGCTAACTGAACTTTCTAAGGATTCAGGAACCGGACCGAATTTGTAAATCTATTGGCAATTTCGTCTAGGTAATCAAGAAGCATCGAATCGACTTGTATTTTGGTAGTAGTGACTGAAAGTCAGCATAGGGTGATGCACAAAAGACCATAAATAAGTTGATTAGCGTGTTGGTGCCTGAGGCACCAGCTCACTCTTACGCAAGGTGTGAGTACTATAAAAAAAGAAAAAGAAAAAGAAAAAACTGGTATAGTTTGATACCGCGAATCAGAGACTATAATTGAGATCGCAATTAGAAAAAACCGATGCCGGAAAAGCCAGCTTGAATTTCTGGCGGCTAAAAAAGAGAAGTCATTGTCAATGATATGTTCTATATCCTCCCACGACAACAGACTAATCCTTTCTCCTCCGCTTTCAACATGGGTGGAATAGTAAAACCCCTACCCTTTACGTTAAGAAATCAAATGCGATTAAGCTTATTCTCATGTACCTAGGTAAGTATTTGAGGGCCCATAAGGCGTACTTCTCAGACTTTCTTGTCAACCTCACTCCCCCGGGAAATATATACAGAGGTGTCCCGATATTTTGAGACAATGAGATCGCTGGTCGACGTGATTGAAATACTAGTAGCTTGCTCGCAGATACCCTGGACTCGATTCCCCTTGAGCTCAGTCTCTCATTAACGTTTTTTCTTTTTTTTTTTTTTTCTACCGCTGAAGATCAGTTTTCTATCCATTTTCCTTTCTGGTTGGACGATTACTTGCTCAATGGAAGATTGGGAGGAGCGGTGTTTTCGTCAAATTCCCGGCAATGTACCACTCCCAGTCGATTGAGCTGACCGATAATTCGCGCTGCGGTTGGCTGAGGTTGACCGTCTAGCAAGATCGCCTGCCATTGCGTAGGCTGATTGATCTCTTGGTTTCAAGCACAAATTAGTTCGATGCCTCTGGAAAACGCGACTGAAGCTGCGATACCATTGCATTGAATGGTGCTATTGAAACAAAGATCGTGAAGATAAACAACTTCAAAGAGATAAATTGATCACTAGGAGTACACGTATGGCCGATATTGTGACAAATGAGTTTGACTCAATCGCCCCCTTGCTTCCTGAAGAATTTCACTTTCTGGAGCTCGAAGCACATGGCTTGGTTATGTCCAATGTAAATACTACTTATCCCACATCCACTAGTACTGCCTTTTATAGATGAGGAAGGAAAACGAATAGTAACATCCTTCTACATAATCTAGCAAATCGTCTTGATTACATACAAAAAGAGTCAAATTGATCTATTAGACTAGCTCATTCATCAAGAACAACCATTCCCAGCCGCCGAGCAACCGCACTCATATCCACGCCACGCACAATATTCGTATTATCAGAAAGAACCTCCGAATCATTGACCTTACTACAATGATTCTTGTAGAAGTAAACTCCGTTCTCGGAGACAAATTTTGCGCGATCAAGAACGACTGTGAACGTGCCAGATTCGTACGGTAACCAGTTGTACAGATATTTTTCAGGGCCACGAGGAGTAACTCGTTTTGCAGCTGGGGGCTGATCCTCTTCTAAGAGGATATTGTGAAGGGCGCCAATAGGGAAAGGGCTTTCCTGGCTTTCTTGATTTTGCTGGGATAAACTTTCAAGAACTTCATTTTGGGCGGGGCCGATGGCCGACCAGGAATTGGACTTTGGAATGAAGAATTTGAGGGTGAGGGTTTTATTAGCCGGAAGGTAGGAGAGGACAGACGCTGTAAAGAGACGCGCTATGCTTTCGAGGAGAGAGAAACCTGCCGTGTCGCGTATATGACTAAGAAAAGATATGTGGACAACGTATTGGATGTTAGAGGTTTTGCCCTTAGGAGTATTGGTGACTATAACAATGTCGGCTTCTCTAGAAACCTGGAATGCCGGACTAAGAGAAAAGCCACTAACCGAGGTTTCTTGGCCGAGCTGGTCACGAATCTGCTCTTCTGTTGGCATATCTTGGCCAGGAGGTTCGCCCTCATCAACATCTAAGGCATATCGCTGATCGGCATAAGAAGAGACGTTAAGGAATAAATCGAGGATTATTATCTGGCCGATATCTATTTGCTCCGTAACACGCTCGATAGATAGTTCAAATGCCTCTGACCTAAGGTCTTCATTGTCCTCGGGTGAATGTTGCGCCAAGTCAGCATCAGCGCGTGTACTAGAAAATGTGCGGTTGAAGTAAAGTAAATCCGGGCCTTCGCCGATCTCCTCAGCCTCCTCGGAGTCCTCCATATTGCCCACTCGATAACTGTGCGATCGCACCAGAACGCAAAATCCAATATTGGATAGGCGATTGGGACGATTCCATCGCGCAATCAGTGGAAGAGGATTTTCGACTCCTGACCGATGTTGCTGCTTGCGACGCGCGATTTCCATGCGATTATGCTCAATGCAGGCAAAGCCATCGGGCGGGCGGTATGAGTAAATTTCGAACAAAGGCTTCACTTCGTCATCCGAGAACGTCTGCATGAGGTATTCTCGGAGCTCTTCGTGGTCGTCGTCCAGGGGAACAAGACTGTAGACCTGAATGGGAGTTTCCAGATCGGGGTCTGTCTCGTATTCTGGCGAGACATACTGCTCGAGCACGACAGGATGACCCAAATGGTCCGTGTAGGTGCGCACTTGCTGCCAATCCATCTCAGATCTTGCAACTGGGGCTATGGTTGGTGCAAATGAGCAGCGACCTTTGATGAGGAAAACAGGTTTGAAAGAGACTACTGAAGTAAACGTGGGGAGCGACGGGCTTAAATGGAGGGGAGGGGTGTTACGTAAGCAGGGAGAAGATCGACACTTAGGGCTAATCGACCAAGTAAGTTGAGCATCCGGGCATGATGAGAGGAGGTACGTAGGTAGTATGGAGGAGAGAATGTGCAAGTGTGTACTAGTAGATTGAATATGGTACTACTGGTAGGTGGAAATCTTAATATACCGAGAGAGACATAAAGTCAGGTGACTGCCCAGTAGCATGCCCTACTAGTATGAACAGCAACAAAATCAATTGAGTGTTATAGTCAGAAATTGGCTAAATTTACAGCTGCAACTAGGTACTTCTCGGGTGGCCTCGTCAAATCTACTACAGGCCCAGCTTTCCTAGCTGGTTGCCTCCCCACATTCCGTACTTGCTTTCGTCATTTGATGCACTTGTCGCAGTACCAGGAAGCGGTTTACCCGCATTGGACGTTGGGAACTTGAATTTTCCCACTGCTGCGTCTCCAGTAGTCATGGTGGTGTCTGCGAACTTCTTCGCGACAGCGTCTATCTTTTTCGGGTCCGTCTTATCTTTTATGGAACTGATCTGGTCCTTAGCGGTCTTGTGCCAATCCGCCTGAATCTGCTCAATCTTGGCCAGATGGTTGTCAATCCAGTAGGCCCATAGGGTACGCAGACCCCAGTGTTTGAGGCCCCGGGGGGTATCGTCTGGCTTAAGGGCCTATCCGTTTGGCTTGTTCTAGGAATATTGGCGGGTATATTCATGGTCGAATTCGTCCGAGATCAATTCGATGTTCTGACTGGGCTTGGTCCACTTGTCGCTAAATTCCTGCAGATAGTTCCAAACAGTAGCAGTCATCATGACCTTGTCCGCTATCTCTTTTGGCTCAACGATGTAACCGTTGCTAGGGTCGTCCTTAGGGAGGCTAGACTTCCTTCCTTCGGTAATAACCTCTTTGACTCCGTTGGGCTTTTCGTGATACATAACGAGCAGGTCAAGCGATTGGCCATTTCCGAGGAATTCAGCGGTATGTTGGACCTAGTTCATTTTGGGCCCATTATTTCTCGACCAAGTCATTCCGCCACTAGAACCTATACAGATATCATTAGTTAATATCAACAAGACGCTACACACACTCCCCTAGCCTTCTTACCTCCAAACACCTCCGAGCACCAAGTCGAGTCAGGACGTGTCCATTTCTTAGGGAAAGGAACCTCGCCAAGACCTCCATATTTGGATTCCTTTCCTCCGCACACCCACTCAAGGAAATGCTTGACCAGATGTACCTCGAAGACGTGCTCCGTGCGGAAGTCCTTCGCGGGCAATTTGCTATTGCCGTCAATGAGGTATACATTGTTCGCTCCCTTGACGGAGTTCTCCTTTGTTGTCTTTGCCGAGCACCTTCTGTTGTCGTTGATATCTTGTGAGCTGGATAGCATAAACTCGGGAAGATACCACTATTATATTCTCATCAGTATTTGCGTCTTGTTGAACCGGAAGAGGAAAAAATAAACAATTAAGGCATACCTTCGCCACACCCGTCGGCCCGTCGTTCTTTGCGTTACACCGGGGATACCTCAAATATATAAATTTCTTGTTGTTATTATAGAAGCTGAGACTTATCTTTTTAGGCTCTTGTGGGTCAGAAGCGCGGTCGAAAAGGAACGAATCTGTATCGTAGCACTTTCCACTATCTGGGGATAGGTAGATAGGACAAGAACCACTATCATCGTCACGGACGAACAGAGAAGAGACATCTCGTTTCGAGTCATCGCTGTCACTGACTTTCGTGCCGTATATTGAGTATATCACGCAAGAATTCTTTCCCCTACCCTTACTAGGGCAATTAAGGAAGTCATCGGGGATCGTGACCAGAGGGCCAAGGGTAAGTGTGTCACGCTTGGCAATGGAATAAGAAACAGGCATAGGCATGTATTCATTTCTACGCGAGGAAGAGTCTTCTACAGAAGAATTGTATGCTTTATAGCCTAGCAAAGTTCGCTTACCCTTCTCACCAACGTAGGTTGAAGGCGTGATTTGCTTCCTAGGCACCTCTACGAGCGTGACTCGGAGATCGTCGCCCTAACTAAATTCCTTAGGGGCGTTAAGCTAAGCGTATATCTTTAAACCGGCATCAATACCATAGCTAAATAGGTAGCTATTGTCCCTATTAAGTGAGTAGGAAGCTTCCGTATATCCGATTATATATCTATCTAGGATAAGATTAACGGAACACCGGGGTATCTTCTAGCGGTTATCGAAGTCAATTCTAAAGCTGTTGGAGTCACGTGACAGCCATGTGGGGCTGCATGTGATCTCGACCCACAGGACTTAGGTTTATGTTTAGATCGTAGCTAGTTTCTCTTCTCTTCTTCTTTTTCTCTCTAGAGTCTACAATATCAATCCCTTGGATTAACATCTTATTCCTACATAGCCTGTATTTCATCTAACAACTGTGTATACAGAAAACAGCAGTCCTGGTATGTGATTTTCAAGTTGTACGTAGTCTACGTATGAAGCGCCTACATAGTCATACGTAACTAGTTAACTAACTAGACTGCAACAGGTTAATTGAACTTTGATTGATTGATTGATAGGTGGGAGGATAGTGAGGGGCAGAAGTCATCTCAGCTTTGGATAGATATTGGGCTGGCGCACGCTGAGGGTATAGGGTAACACCATTCGACTGGCTACCATGGCCGATGAGGACGATGATGATACGATCTCCATGCAGAAGACCAGAACCATCGATAACGGGAACGATAACGGGTGATGACGTTGTCGAGGTCGAGAGACGTCAACATAGGTAGTTATATATATATATGTGTATATATAGTTGTGTGTATATATAGTTGTGATGGGGCCACAAAGAACATCTGTAGGTCTATATATAACACTGTCGAAGTTGAAGGATACAAGGTAGAGATGTGTTCAAATGTAATTGATCTAGAAGTAACTTCCTATCCTAGAAAGTGGTACCTAGAAGAAGCAAGAACTCCAAGCTAAGAGTATACAACTACCTTCCATCTCTCACTTCTCTCTTACTTCTCCCTCACTTCTCACTCTCACATCTCTCACACATCTCTCACACATCTCTCACACATCTCTCTCTCTACACACCCCACTGCCTCAGTTGCAATTGATGGTGACATTGTCGTGGCCAGTTGTTGGTTGGCGTGTTTGTCGACTCTGGCTGAGTTCTCGCTTCACAGCATCATTTGTCGTCATTGGCTAATACCCATCGTCTTCCACACCGAATAGTCGACGAGATGCCCTCTATTGGGCCAAACCAGGATACATCTACACCGCTTGTGATCTCACCCGCCCGCGTTCTTCTATCCCATAATATCTCACACTTTATCCTCTCACCAAGGATCGAGACTACGATCAGGAATGCGCCTTATTCTCAGCAGCGCCATGAGGCCTTCCTCTGACCGGGGACATCCGCCCGGTCAGTTTGGAGAAGACTTCGTTGCTTGGCCGGCTCGGAACAAGAACCGGCGTAGGCATTGGCGGGTATTCCGACAAGAGATGGCACCGCAACAGACATGAGAGATGTCGTCACAGGGAACGCAACCTTGGATGGTCCCGCATTTGTTTTTCACTCTCCCTGCAGATTTTGGTAAATATCATCCTTATTCCTTAGCCTGGACGTAATCTCATTATAAATAGGTCGTTACTTGGAACTGTATGACACGTTGACCAAATCCGGCGTAGACAACGAGGCCAAATCCCGTTGCCGTATTGACGCGTTGATATTTGTGGTCTATCGGACTTTATCAGAGCAAGACCTACTTCCCAACACTGGAGATAGTAGAGCCACTCTCTCTTTTGAGACTCCATTCAAGTGGAGTCCAGTCCCTGTTAATGGGGTTCCACACACATGTACTGGAACCGCCGACTACACCGTCCTCTTCGGGGGTAGAGATCATATGGCCTGCCACCTAATAGTGTTGGAGGCTAAGAAGAGATACAATTTGTCCGGAGCCGGGCAGTTATTAGCCTACATGGCCATGGTTCAAGTGAACCGAAAGAGAACTACCTGAAAGACCTAGGCTGCCAAAAGCAGGCGCTCAACTATTTCACCATTGCAACTACCTGTCAGTTTGCTCTCGATGGCCGTGGGCCTCGGAATCTCAAGGACCAAGCAATTGCTACTATTTCCTGGCAAACAGCCCAGATGCAGAGAGTTGGCTAGTTACTGGAACATCTCACTGGGCAGGGGCTGATCATGGACTTGGTCGACATGGAAATAGCCAGACAAGCACTATCGGATCACCAAAATGATATTATGCAGCCCCTGTGCAGTAGACTTGGTCATCTGCTATGTTTGGTAAACCCCCGGATGAAGAAAGCTATGTCGGTGTCCACTTCGAAGATGCCGAGATCTGGTTGATGTACATATTGGGTTATAACTGGCTGACACACCCGGACGTGTTCAATCTTGATCGTGTGGAGAACGAGGTACTTGCATTTTTTGGCTTAGTTTGTGTGTATCTCGCTGTTCTCTCGTTATAGGGATGTTACTATTGTTATAGACGGGTTGGTCTAAATCCTTTTGGGTGAAGTCATTCTTAGCTCCTATTCCTTTTCAATGAAGTTGCCGTTACGGATCCCTGAATACCTGGATTGATTTGAATTCAGTATCATTCATGTTCTATTAAACATAAGACGCAACTAAACGGATATCATCACTCATAACCCCCTGCTCCTTCTATTTAACCCAAAAGATAGACAATACGAAATAAAGAAAAAGAACAGCATATTCAAAAGACAGGAAGGACGATCCCATCTCACATCTCCTCGTAGGCACAATCCGGATGCATGACGAAAAGAACCTTGCCGTCATCTTGCTGGTCGTCATCGCCAGTTCCATCTGTGAGGCCAGACCCGGAGATACGCAGCAGGAGTTTGTCCTATAGAATAACTTTGTTAGTGACATGTACTTATGGAAATTCGCAAATTTGCAGATGTTGCCGTAGCAAAGAACGACTAACCTTGACCATGCGTTTCAATACCTTGCCTGCTAACTCGCGCTCGCGCTCGTAATCATCTTCGGTGTTGAGTTCACCCTCAATTTGCTCCAAGTACCAAAGTAGAAGATCTTCTTGCTCGACACCTTCGCCCGAGTTCATCTCGTCCTCGTGTACGCGCCGGACGATCTGGTTCAGGATCTTGGCGTACTTGTCGTAGGTGATCTTGGTCTTCTGGCGTTCCGGCTGGGCGGGGGCTTGAGCAGGTTCCACGATATCACGCATGGGGCTGTCACCCTCGTTGTCACCATCGGCCATCTCCTGGTCTTCGTCGGCGCCATTGGCGTGAGCAGGGACATCATCTTCAATCTCAACATCATCCTTCTCAACAGTCACGATACTCTGGCGGAGAAGATCGTATGCCTCGATGACGAACTTGGGGGTGATCTCCTCAACACAGTTGGCCTTGGCGACAGCCTCAGACAAACGGATCAAAGACTCGAGCTGACGAACGGTGATACGGTATGAAGAGCGACCCACACCTCCCTGGGCGTCATTAGAGCGCAGCTCCTTGTATTTCTCGACCAACAGTGTCTTCGCCTCGTCAGTAAAGACAGGGCGGAATGTGCGGGCGAACCGAATGTAGCGCTGCAGTTGTTCTGTGCTCAGTTCGGGCTCAACAGCCTCATCGCGGTTCATGTGCACGTTAACAATGTGCTCAGCCAAGTTGCGGTCAACAGACTCCTTTGGATCATCGCGGATAACAAAGAACACATCGAAACGACTCATAATGGGAGCGCTGAAGTTCAGGTTGTTCCGAAGGGTTTGCTTCGGGTCGTAGCGACCATTAACAGGGTTGGCAGCAGCGAGGATGGATGCACGGGCATTCAGAGTAGTATGGATACCAGCCTTGGCAATGGAGATTGTCTGCTGTTCCATGGCTTCGTGAATCGCGACCTGATCGGCGATATCCATTTTATCGAACTCGTCAATGGCACAAATACCACCACCGTTCTGTAAGGAAAAGGTCAGCATTGAACCCACACTTAATCGGAGCCACATTTGGAACATACCGCAAGCATCAGGGCACCTGCTTCAATGGTGAACTCGCCTGTCTCGGGATCCTTCACCACTGAAGCGGTCAAACCAGCTGCCGAGGAAGCTTTACCACTGGTGTATACTGCACGAGGGTGCAATGAGCAGACGTATCTAAGCAGCCATGTCAGTAACCAATGGTTATACGTGAGGAGTTGGCAAAACTTACTTCAAGAACTGACTCTTACTGGTCGATGGGTCGCCGACAATACAGATGTTGATATCACCACGAAGTTTCAGGCTCTCAATTGATGTCGACTTGCCAACACCACCAATCAACTGCAAAAGGAGACCCTTCTTGATTTGACGATGACCCCAGATCATGGGGGCAATTGAGTCCACAAGTCGGGAGTAAATATATTCTGAGTGCACCAGTCGCTTGAGATCCTGGACTTCAGCCGGGGTAAGACTTTGCAAGAAAGCTTCTTGGGCTGATTCATCCCCGGTATCAGCCTCCTGGTTCTGGTTCAAGGAAGCCAGAATATTATTTGACTGGCCACTCAACTGCTGCTCCGGCTTCTGGCCAGGAGTCGTTGTGTCTGGGGTAACCATGCAGGAAAGGAAAGCCAATCGGTAAGTCAGATCGCGCACGCCCAAAGACTTCAATCCAGAGACTCCGCTGCCACCGACCTCGTTACCTCGGAAGGAATTGTTATCGCGGACAGCCTCAGGACGCACACCGGGAAGACCCAACTGACTGACATCAGGAACGACAATCAAGGTACCCGTAAAGACGCAGCGTTCACCGGCCTTGGCGCGATCAACCATCTCACCACGTAAGATGACATCCATTGTGCGTGGCATACTACCAGTCGGAATTTCGTGCGACGATTCCTGAAGCTTGACTTTTTGCCAATCGACAAATGTACTCTTTCCGATATCCAGGCGCCATCCTACGCGGTTACCGCAGGTGTTATTGGGGCACTCCGTTGGCTCAGTATATTTGAAAGTTTGTTCCACATTCGGGACAACAGTCTTGCAACCTTCACAGATAAAAGTTCCCAGCGACAATTCCGGTCTAACTTCTGAAGTTCTTGTGACAGTTCCAGAGACGGAAAGCAATTTTCCGATCTGATTCGTCCGAAGTTGTCGCAGTCTGGAAACCAAAGGCAGGTTGTAAAATGCAAGGGCAAACAATTTGTCAGTTTGCTGGTGGCGAGTCTTCTCGCGGATCTGACGCTCCAAGTCGGGGTTATCTGAAACGCCCGCATATGCTGAGGCAACTGAGGTACTAGCTCGCGAAGAGGCGCTGGCAGTCATTCGGTGGGAGACGAAGTATTCGGGTTCGTACTTGGCGATAAGATTGTGAAGTCCTTTGGTGAGGAAAGGTTGGAATCGATAATATTGGCCGGCAATTGCATCTGCCAGGACAGGATTAAGGATGTGTGTGAAATCGACGTAGAGAGTTGATAGTTCGAATTTTTTCATGCCCTTAATCTGAGCAATATAATACTTGTCACTAAGAAACTCCCCTGATGAGGGCGGCGCAGACGACGAGGGTTCATCGATGTATGATTCGAGCAGCTCTTCAAATGCCTGCTGGACTTTCTCTGCCGCTTCATCGACCACCGGCGGGGGCCAGGGGCATATGGATTTCGCATACGGCTGACTGTCGAGCTTCCCGCCCCGACAACTTGGTCATCTGGGAAGGCATTCATATCACTCATAGGGCCATTGCTCTCTGAACGTCGGGAGCTGGGCAGATTGTCGGATCGGAGGTTTTGATCACGAGAAGGCGCAGAGCCCAGCTCGGACTGGATCACGGCGTCGAAAAGGGAAGACATGGCAAAGAGCTAATCAGCTAAAAATCGCCAATGCAAAAAAAAAAAGGGTATTAAGCTCCCACGTCTTGGAGGGGGGAAAAAGAAATGTGGAGAGATGATATCCTTGACTCGGTTTGCTATCTTAGTTTTTCGTGGGTCTCCTTCGCGGGTCTCCTTGGGCAACTAACGCGCGACGCGAACGCGTCTTCGGAAGAATAATTGATCCCACACCGACGCGTTAAGTGGTTTTTACTTATATAATCATATACGCTAACCCATATAAGGCAGTAGGTCCTCTCTCTTCTCCAGTGCAAATAACATTGAGTGTTCTGCTTAGCGCCCCCACTATCGGTCATATAAGGCGCACAAATGCTAGCTCCCGGGGTTTCCGAAGTCATATCCTAACTTCTGGTCTTCAATCCCCGAAACGTGTTCATCTTACATTTACCTATGAAATTAAAGGGGAATAGGGTAATTATGGACTTGGAAACTGCAGCTATGGTCAATTTGGACAGTTTAACCGTAATTATTGTCAATACTAATAATACTCCGTATAAGAGTGGCAAATCAACACCCCTTTTCATTCAATGGGTGACAAATAGGGATATAAGACAGCCCCTCAGCCAGAAGCCCACTTTTAGATGATATATCCCAAATCTCGGGTACTACCTCACAGTTCGGCATCCTCCGTAATATATATTTATTTGGAATGAAATACAAT